GTGCAGGGGAGGAATCAGAACAGATAAGGCCAGTGTCATCCGCATACAAACTAACATCGGGGACAACTGAAGGTAGGTCATTAACGTAAAGCAAGAATAACAAAGGACCCAGAATGGAACCTTGGGGCACTCCAGACGTTACAGGGAGGGGATCAGACAAGAAATAGGACAAGCGAACAGCCTGAGAACGAGCAGACAGATACGAGGATATCCAACGCAAGGCAGCATCCTCCACCCGGAAGGTGACCTCCAACTTGGCAAGTAAGCCACGATGCCAAACGGTGTCGAATGCCTTAGCCAAGTCGAAAAACACCATTCCCACGTGCTCCCCACAGTTCCTCTTTGTCGCTATGTCTTGGACAAGTCGAGTCACCTGGTATTGAGTTGAGTCACCACGGCAGAATCCCGACTGAGCTGGTGAGAGAGCCGGAGCGATGTGCAGGTAGAGGGAATCGAATACAATACGCTCACAAAGTTTGGAAACTGTGCGCAGCAGAGAGATGGGGCGGTAGTTTGCCGGGCAAGCACGGGAGCCTTTATTCTTGTAAAGCGGTGTCACGATGGCGGATTTCCAATCCTGTGGGAATGTACCAGTTCGAAATGACATATTTAAAAAAATAATGGCGAGAGGATAGGCTATTGATGGTGCAAGAGACTGCAGCACTTCATTCGGGATCCCATCTGAGCCGGGAGACTTTCCACATTTCAGGCGCTTCGGATATTTCCGAACTTGAAACGTAGTGACATGTCGACAGTGATTGTACGGAACGGAACAGATATGAAAGGCGACTGGGGCAAAGGGGGAATGCGCCACGAAGGATCATCAGCCAGCCCAAATGAGGTGAACTGAGTGTTCAGAATATCAGCTATGCTCTTGGGGGACGTGGCGACCGTACCGTCGGATGCTATCATCGTTTGGGGCATGACACGGCCGGAAGTGTGCCGCTGTGCTCGCACAAACTGAAAGAGTGTAGGTCGATTCGGTGACGTTAGTGATGCTTGGATGGAGCGTATATATTGACGATGTGCTTGCCGAGACAGGTGCTTTACAGCATTCCTTTGTCGGTTATAAGCTGCATGATTTACTGCTGTCGGATATTTTTTGTACACACTATATAGATCACGCTTGCGTTTTACAGCAGACCTGAGCCCAGCAGTAACCCATGGTGGAGATTGCATGCGGGGTCGTGGAGATGTCACAGTGTGGGTGGCTCCGAATGAGGTGAGGTGACGACGGAAGGCGGACTGGAGCTCACAATCAAAGTGATGAAGTGCGTCATTAACATCAGTGTACGAGTTCAGAGAGGACCAGTTGTAGCCAGCTAAATCAGCGTTGATTAATTGCCAAAGGTGCGAAGGTACTTGTTTGAAGCGATACAGTGAAGAGGGAGGACCAGTGGAAGAGTTGGGGAAGTAGTTCGAAATAGGGGCGTAACATAAAGTGCAAACAATCTGTATATGGTCAGACATACCCAAGGGAGGTGCTTGATCAATTGAGCGCATGAGGCGTGGTCGGTTGGTGATCACCAAGTCCAGACACGAAACAGAGCCATTAGGCGAGGAATGAGTGGGGAAGTCAACCATCTGGTGGAGCCCAAGAGCAGCAAATACTGTGCTAAGGAGATCACCAGCCTTCGAGGTAGACTCGGTGGGACACCAGCTTGAGTTGTGGGCGTTGAAATCGCCAGTCACTAACAGATCATAAGAATCTAAACAGACTGACTGTAATGCCTCAACAAACATGTCACAAAAGTACGACAATTGCATTGTGCTCTGTGAGGGTGGTCGATACATGCAGCATAGTAAGATGTGATTCTGAGATTGAGTAGAGGGGGAGCCAAGTTCAAGCCACACAGACTCGCAGCCAGGGCGTTGAAGGTCGGCACGAGGGGAGACGTAAGGAAAGGAGTCCGAACGGACAAGTACGGCAACACCCCCATACCCACGGCTACAATGTGCTTACCGATTGTCTTCCGGAGGTCGATCTCTGCGGATGCAGATATAGCCTGACAGTGAGAGCGGGTTCGAGGGACAGAGCCACGTCTCTGTTAGGCAGATTATGTCAGGCTTAGCACATTCGGCAATAACGCAGAGCTCAGACAACTTGTTGACAACAGAGCGACAATTCAGAGATACTAGGGTTAAATCACGCTGGGATTTAGGGAAAAAAGGGAACGCTGATGGATTTAGCGCAAGACCATTCGACTTAGCACCCCGAAGACTACAACTGGTGAAAAGTAGCAAAAGCCATGGCAACTAACGCACCATTCAACAGCTTGGAATCCTGACCGCCACTAGTGACTAGGCACTATTCAGCCTGGTCTACACCACACTGTGGCACACAGCTATGAAGTGACATTTTCTGTCCCAGGGGAAACTCGCGGAAAAAAGGGCACATTTTCGGCCATAACTCTTGAACGGCTGGTCAGATAGGGACACAGTTTTCAGAGAATTTGCAGCTATTCATGCTCTTTCAACTGACGTAGCACTCAATATGAATTTACAAATTCGATTTTTCAGCGAATTTTTGGGTGATGTGCCCCCTTAAGGGGGCACATCACCCAAAAATTTCATATGGCATTCAATTGACCGTAACTTTGGTGTTTCTCAGTGGATTTGAGTGAAATTTTGACCACACACTCCTGCCACTATGCTGGCCCTCAGGACATGATTTACAAGTTCTTGCGCCTCACTGACAGGCTTTCCAGGCCGGAAAAACTCAAATTTCCGGCATAGTGCTACGGTGTGCGAGCCACCCAGGAGCCAAACAAATGCATTTACATTTTTTTCACATTTTCGTGCCCATTCTGTCCGTGCGCGGGACCCAAACCTAAAACAAGTCCAGAAGCAGCCATGGGTGGTGGGGTACGGCCCCTCAACGTGGCCCTGGAATCTGTCACAACGGAACGAGTGGGCGTTCTTTCACGGACTCCCACAGACCCAAGTCAATTTTTGAATTTTTTTAGGTTTGGCACGTGCTACGAGGTCGTACCTTTGATACAACATCCAGTGCTGGGACCTCCACAGCAAGCCATTTCCACAGCGCTGCACACCAAATCCAGGATGCCCTCAGAAACCGGCAAAGACTGCCACTAACGTTTCACTACTGCCTAGTACTGAATCCTACCTGACTTCTTGACACGACTCAAACTTGCCAAAGTCACTAAATCAACGTCAACTACAATAATCAAGCCACATATCTGGAACGTCACGAGGGTGCTGGCAAAAGTCCTACTGCACGGCGGCGGGCTTCGCCCGCCGCCGTGCAGCCCAATACGTGGTTTTTTAACGTGATTTTTTGGACTTTTTTGGACAAATGACAGCATGCGACAAAAAAATCTTTCCTTGCAAGGGCACATTTTCGGCCATAACTCTTGAACGGCTGGTCAGATAGGGACACAGTTTTCAGAGAATTTGCAGCTATTCATGCTCTTTCAACTGACGTAGCACTCAATATGAATTTACAAATTCGATTTTTCAGCGAATTTTTGGGTGATGTGCCCCCTTAAGGACGCGAGCACTATTGAACCATTATCAGTTGTATGATGATTGCCTATTTAGGCGTGAAGCTATTGTAACAACGGTGATGCGTGCTGCTCTGTGACTAGTGTGCACTGGGTGATGCGTCGAATGCTTAGGCCTTGACCATCTTGTTGACGGATTATGCTAATATTTTCGTGAAATTATGCTTTTCGCATTGCTGAAAAAATTGCAGAATTATGCTGTTTTTATGGTAAAAGTTACCATATTATGCCGCATTATGCTCACATACGCTGCTAATGCAAAATGGTTCTGTGCAAAATAACAAGGGAATTTTTTTGTAGAGTAGGTTGTACTGTAGTACTAGTAGCAAAAGTTCAACGGGGTCAATGCATCGTCCGACCTGGCTACGACCATCACTGATTGTAGTGGACTGGACATATCATCAAGGCCAAGGGAGTCGTAAACCTACTTCCTACTATCCTAGTGCATCTACTTGTACTTGTACTTGTAGAACATGTTCAACTGTATGGAATTTGATGCGAACAGGCGGATTATTACAATTTTATGCGATTCGTATGCAATTTGCCTCGAATTATGCGATTATTCGATTCTGGAAGGAATTATGCGAAAAATTATGCTAGCATAATCCGTCAAGGCCTACGAATGCTACATCCATAGTTACATTATCATCAACTAACTATTTTATTTATAATTACTTCAAAGAAGTATTTTTATTTAAAGGATCTCCCAGAGGCGATGGCCTGTCGAGGGGATCTCCTGATGCAAATCATGCAATAGAAATAAACAGTGAGGAAAACTACACGTGTTACAGTATATGCTACATAATGAGCAATAAACTACTTAGTGTGTGCGGATTTTGGCTAGCCCACTTCGATGCCCTAACGCCTTGTGCATGCCCTATACAACAGGTATACTTGTACTGTGATCACTTTCTGTAAAAAAAATCTATTTTCCGCTTTGCCATGATTGCTGTGTTTGCTTTCTTTCTATATAAAATAACATGGCGAGCACGGAGACACATTTATATTTTCATGTCATGGTATGCATGCATGGTGAACGTATTAGAACTCAACTGGCACTTGGAACATTATTGTAAGTGAGATGTCTGGCTTAATCTGCATGTATCTACATAGAAGGAAACCAAACATTGGCTGAAGATGATGATACAGTGAAACTTGTCTAGTCGACTGCTCAAGGGACTTTCAAAGTGGGGTCTCTGTAGCAAGGTGGTCTCTTTATCCCAGTGGCATTTGACTGGAAATAGCATCCCTTGGTCCTGGCTGCAGTGATCTCCTGGGACAGGTGGTCGCCTTATCCGAGTGGTCGCCTTGACAGGTTTAATAACTGTACATGCGTCCAGGTGAAGACAAACAGAGAGCCAACATGTAACATGTGTAGCACGGGGACGACAACCCTTGACCTTGGCCTTGGCAGCAGTGATCAGTCGTCTACCTACCCACATACACATTCTCGTCTATGACACATGCAAGGCTGCATACTGGCGGCAAGACTCATTCGTCAAGGCAAACACAGTAAACCCAGTCGGTCACCTCAGCTATGCTGCAACTACACGACCAACGGTGTACTAGGAAAATCTCCACAGCGCTGGACAGCACTCTTGGTCTACTGTCAACAAAAGATCTGGAAAAATCTTTTTGAATATACCTATTTCAAGTACTAGAATAACCTTTGACTCAGATTTGAGCCATAAAATAAATAATACAATATTTGATGAAGTTGATTGTTCCAACTAGAAACACACGCTTCTTGCCGAACTTGACACTTGACTGACTTGACTGACTTCATGTTGATAGCCGCCGAAGTCGCAACGTCTAAGTTCGTACAATCTTTGATATTTAGAAAAACCGTCGATATCCTCAGCGCAAACGCTCCGCCTTTGGCAAAGGCCCTGATCACAATATAGTAGGTCTTGGCGGGGAGAAGAGGGTGCACAACACGCGGGTTACCATCCTCACCACCATCAGTGGCTGCAGCGATGAAACGTGTTTCAATGTCAGGACCATACAGGGTGAGTGCCAGGTCAGCTTCATCGCCAGTCGTCTAAGCAGTTAAAACAACAAACACCGGAAAATCGTCCAGAACACACCTTTAACGCCCCCCCCCCCCCCCCCAACGGTTGCACATGCAATGCTCATTTCTCACCCGCATGAGACCCGGAAAGCGAGCTATTCCGCCTCCATCTGGGGTCGCGGGCATTCCTAGTGTGTTTACATACATCCAAGAAACTGACTGGGACCCTGAGTGAAGGCAGTCGAGAAACCTCCTGGCCGGGCCAGCCTGTTTGACACGTGAACGCACCACAACTTTCCGCCTTGGCAGCGTACATATCCCACATGCGCATTCATGACGATATTCCGCCTTGGCAGCGTACATTTCCGCAGTCCCAAATGCATGCTGCATCCCGTCATTCAATGAGGTTGTTAAACTGTCCGGGCAGGAGTGACTGTAGGTGCAGGTCGGGCTGAACTTCTCCATATAACCATGGTTTTATCCACCCATAACCTAGTTTTCAAAGCTGACGGGACTCTTTTATCGGAATTAACTTGTACTACCTCCGCGTCATTAAAATTGTCGCTTCGCACATCGCAATGTTTGTGAGTTTCTCGTCTTAGTCAGACAGTCAGAATCGCTGTTTTCTGTGTTCGAACATTAATGCGACCCTTCCTGCGCAATGTCTACGTTTTACTGAAGCCGTGGTGGTCTCAGACTTTGTCGGAGCTCTCTTCTGCACCAAACAAATCCATTGCTCTCCTCACTATTCCGCCCCAGAGCGCGTATCGTTTTTTTCTGGTTTTAGTGCCGTCCCACATTTTTCCCGTGTGCATATATCAAGACTGCAAGCTTGGGTATAATAATCCTGGTATCTCTCCTGAATTCTAAATTCTGAAGTTGACGATGGCAAGGACAAAGTGTTCTCAAATTCCTAAAATGCGCTACGTGTGGCGCATGTTGCTGGGAATGTAGTAGGTCTGAAAACACCAACAACATCAGTAAAGCGTTTGCCAAGGACAGAAGTTGCGAAACTGCTTACCCTATCTCGCTGGAAGGTCGTTGCAGTGTACTTGAAAAATTGCTACTTTGCCCTAATCGCCTGCCACCTGGAGGCATGGATCGCATGAAAACGAAGTTTCTAGACCTGAATTTGAACGCCCGTGCTGAAGGGTCTGCCTCAAACTCTGATGAAGACGTCAACCTTAGCTGCAAGTGCAGCGAAGCGGGAGGTCACAAACTAAAGCTTGGTCCGTCGACAATGCTCTGCCTCAATTTCTAGCTGATTTCTTTGCCCTTCGAGTGGACAAATTAAATTCGAAAAATCGCTCTGGGTAGGGACAATTTTAATGACGCGGAGGAAGTACCCAGAACGTCTAGAAGCACATCTCTCTCTCTTTCTCTCCCTCCCTTCCTCCCTACCTCTCTCTCTCTCTCTCCCCCTCCCCCCCCCCCCCCCATGAAAACACACATCTATCACACACATACCTCGATTGTGTACTTTCTTTTTTCTTTTGGATCACTTGTGAACGTGAATTTCATTTCCTCTCCAGGGCTGATGTGATCTAGAGGAAACAGCAAAGTGCAAAATAATAGGAAGTTGGGCCTTATGGCATCTCTCCGAGACTGGTGCGAATCACTCGCAAAGCTCCAGTCCTGGTTCGATGCAGTCAATCAGCATGTTGATATCGTACGTACGGAATTGAGCAAGCAGCTGATATACTCTATCAAGCCGCGGTGATGCAGCCAGCTGTTTTGTTCTACCATGTGCACAGGGACTGTGTGACATCATAGACTCATGAATATCAGGCACGTAGGAGCAAATTCACAAACACATTACAAAATTGTATATATAGGGACACTTCCCCCATCAATGCCTTTGTAAGATGTTCAGTTCATAGGCCAGCGAAACAAAAACTTCTTGGGACGATTTACGGCCATTGCAACGGAAAGTGCTTCTACTGCAAATATCAATGATTCACAGCTCAGCGCACTAAACCAGCATTGAGCGATGCGCAGCTAGTGCGTAAGATCTCATTCATGCTAAGCAAGGGATTTTGAAGACAGTGCCTATTGTCAAAGTTTCAAAAAATAGCAGTGCTGCTGCTGCTGCTGCTCAATGGCTGAACCTGACCATCCTGTAGTGCTATAAACTGCAAAACAGAGAGTGCCAGAATTCTGTCTGGTTTGCCTCAAAGTCATCTGCCTTTGTGGAAAGCCCCCGTCTCGCAGTTAAAAGACGCTGCCTTGGATGCTTTGTGCCGATATAGACATGCCTTGTTGTTGACTTGACCGCATAGGGATCAGTTCAGCCAATCAATCTGAGCTCTGGGTTAACTGGGTTATTCTTAGTGCCAGCAGTCGCCAGCAGTTGTCTCAGGAATGGAGATGAATGTTTTATTAAAAGGGAGGGTAATCTTACTCTTTGACTTGTCAGCATCTTCAGGCAGAGTCTGCGGTTCTTCCTTTGGTGGTGCTGGCTTTGTGCCAGGAGGACCGTAGAGTTTCCTCACAACGAGTTTGTCCGTCGGTGAAAGCTCTGATATCACGGGAAAATCAGAATCCTGTGTCGGCCTCCCATCAATGCTCAATATCAACCCTTTAGGAAATCTGTGCACGACAACCAACAGTTTACGTACAGAACACGGACAGAAGTCAAGAAATCAAACTACTAATAAGTTAAACAAACAATAAGAGAACTGAAAAAGTGTTTTTTTAAACTCTTGGACAGCCTGAAACCTCTCTGTTTTACTAATATGTTATAAATATAATAATATGTTCATCCTTGCATCGAGTCAAGAACTTGGTTTTAGCACTGAACTCCCACTACGATGCCTTTAGCCGATTGGCAAATGCTTTCACTTACTAATACTTGACTTCACCGCAATCTGTTCAACCAGACACTAAGAGCCCTGCTGATAATAAAGAACACGATTGAAACAGCTAGTTGTTCGAAGATTCAGTACCAATATATTTAGTATGATTTCACCTCGAAGCATGAACTTAATCCAGCCTATATGGTGCTTGGTCCTGCCGCTGATCCCGAGACCCATGGTCGGGGGAGGTAGGCCCAAATCACCACCCATGGTCGGAGGAGGTAGGCCCAATTCACCAACACGCTGCGCCGGTTTCCCGCTCTATAGTCATGTCTCCCCATTGGTTCAGTCTTCCCATTCCGTTCCCCGCTGGACTGTGTATTTCAGAAAGAAAAATAAAATAAAAAAATAAATAAAGAATGGACTCGGATGGAGAGCCAAGGATAAATATATATTAAATAAAAAATGGACCAAGGAACTACATGTAAAAGTTACGCTATAATGTCCACTAACACCACCAGTTACTAAACGGCTAGTTAGTTGTAGGACGTCAGTACCGTCGGTCAGTGTCGTGAGCTGATTGTTTCGTACCTGGTGGTGTTAGTGGACATTATAATTATAGCGTAACTCGTAGTTACTTGGTCCATTTTATATTTAATATAAATTTATCCTTGGCTCTCCATCCAAGTCCATTCTTTATTTTATTTTTTATACTGAAATACACAGTGCAGCACTTCATTTTTTTATTTACAGGTGGAATCCTGATAATTCGAATATGGCTTAATTCGAACATACCGCTTAATTAGAAGTGTTTCCAGGATTGATTTCTGTCAATTCGATTCCCACATAAAGTTTTCTGATAATTCGAACCTCGAACCGGACATGTCCGGTTAATTCGAAGTTCCACGGATTTCACTTTCATAGAAAATGTGTGGGATTTGTGCTGATAATTCGAAGTAAGCAAAGTGTAATTCGAAGTTCACTATACACTGTAATGATCAGTTCAGTTTGCATGAGCAGGCTGTGCTGGTCAGTTCAGTATCCGTGAAATCTGTATCTAAGGTCCATAGCGCAACTCTACGTGAACATGGGAGCATTTTGACATACATATTGTGTTGTGGGTTCATGTTTGGATAATTAGAATGTCCGGATAATCAGAAGATTTTTCCTGGCATTTGGAGATTCGAATTATCAGGATTACACCTGAAATATAAAAAGTAAAGCATTGAGTTACATGGAGACACTTACCTATAGTGCATGATGGACTGCATGTCGTATGTAGAGCCTGTAACATCATCCGCCTTGAACGGTTCCAGGATTTGTCTCTGGATCTGCTCCTCATCCCAGTAGTTTGGTGACCCCGTGAACTCTGCCATCACCTTGGGCACGTTCCAGAGCACAATGCCCTTGATGGGTGACTGGTGTTCGTGCAGTAGACCAAGCACGTGACCAAATTCGTGGAGTACAGTTGACTTGTCAATCACAGCAAGGTTCATCGTGCACTCATCTTTAGGAATCTGAAAACGCGCATGCCGGGGAAGGTGAACGAGAGAGAGAGAGAGAGAGAGAGAGAGAGAGAGAGAGAGAGAGAGAGAGAGAGAGAGAGAGACAGAGAGAGTGTCACAGTGTGCGTAATGCATGCATCTACGTGACTGGCGCTCGACCTACTGTTGTGGACATGGAAATCCGGTCGCACGTCTAGCGGCCCCAGGGTGCTGGCCATGCAGCCGTGGATAAGCGGTACACACATGCAATTTATGCGCTGCAGCGTGATAGTCGCATCGAATCAACATGTGCCCTTCACGCAGCGTTCTGTACGCGCTGAGGGCGCCGGCCCCGGTCAATCGACCGGATTTCCATGTCCATGACAGTACGTAGCTAACTGAGCTATACGTAACGTTGCGTTCAGGCACAGCCACTAGTCTACGGTACCGGCGCTAGTGACATGTCCACTCACGCGCGATGAAAATACAGTATTTTTTGCTGGACTCGACTACGCTGTACAGAGAGAGAGAGAGAGAGAGAGAGAGAGAGAGAGAGAGAGAGAGAGAGAGAGAGAGAGAGAGAGAGAGAGAGAGAGAGAGACAGAGAGAGTGTCACAGTGTGCGTAATGCATGCATCTACGTGACTGGCGCTCGACCTACTGTTGTGGACATGGAAATCCGGTCGCACGTCTAGCGGCCCCAGGGTGCTGGCCATGCAGCCGTGGATAAGCGGTACACACATGCAATTTATGCGCTGCAGCGTGATAGTCGCATCGAATCAACATGTGCCCTTCACGCAGCGTTCTGTACGCGCTGAGGGCGCCGGCCCCGGTCAATCGACCGGATTTCCATGTCCATGACAGTACGTAGCTAACTGAGCTATACGTAACGTTGCGTTCAGGCACAGCCACTAGTCTACGGTACCGGCGCTAGTGACATGTCCACTCACGCGCGATGAAAATACAGTATTTTTTGCTGGACTCGACTACGCTGTACAGACTGTCAGTGTACTGTGCTTGTGCAAGGACATCAAAGACAAAGCGTGGACAGTAGGCATGTCGCATACATGTACATCAGGGGCGTGCTCGGCCCCCCAACTAGGGGGGTGCACGGGAGCCGAGGGGAGCCCCCCCCCCCCCTCGGCAATTTTCTGCAATTTGTTTGCAACCTTTCTTGAATTTTAGAGCATATTTGCATACATTACAATTGCAATTACCCAGATTGAAAATGTTTGGGGGGTGCACGTGCCCCCCCGTGCCCATCGCCGAGCACGCGCCTGTACATGTATGTATGTCCAAAGTGGAAACCAGTGTTTTCATCTTGGTCTTGAAGTGGGTGCTTTGGTCTTGGACTGGAGTACGAGCGGCTGTTTGTGTTGTTAGTAAAATTACTGTTCAGGTTTGTGGTTTTGAGGACAAAGGCAATGAGTTTTCAGCAGAAGACTTTGTCGGCTCTCTGGGAAAAAAACAGCGTGAAATTTCTGACGGAGAGTCGGATTCTTCCGCCACCGGCACTGCTGAAGGCAGCAGCCAAGTTGAAGTTCAAGACTGTGACGAGCCAAGTTTCACAATAGAGGACGAAACTGATGACGAGCCCGCTGCAAAAAGATTGACTTTTGGTGAAGATTATGACTTTTCCGACGTTGGCACACTCTATGATGACGAGAATTGTCGGTGGAAACTCTGTCCACGCACTGCCCCTTTATAAAACAAAGGTGGCGATCGCCAATCAACACTGGACACCCACCAAGTCCTTCCCTTATCCAGTCAGTAGCTTATTGCAAAATGGGGGTCGGAACTTTTTGGAAACCACCTTTTTTTGACCCGGTGCACGCGCCTGATGAAGAGTTCAAAGAGCACAAGCAAAGAAGACATCTGAGGGTGATAGCGTCCCTCATTGGGCACAACTCTACATGACTGCAGTGTTACCACTGCCCGTATTTGTCCGTATTTTTACGGAAAAAAGATGTTTTGTCCGCAGTACGGATTTCAATCGAATTATGCCGGAAAAAGCGTTTTTGTTTTCCACTCGGCGAAGTGTTTTGGTAGTCATAGAATGCTTTGGAGTTTGGACTGAAGTGTAAAAATGCAACGAAGTTTTGCTTAGCGGAGGAAGTATACAGGTGAGAAATTACAGGAAATTCAGCAAGTGCAGCCGGTGTGACAATGGACATGCATGTGCAAGTCTGTGTGTATTGTTTTTTTTCCAAATTACACTAATAATCAGTGAGAATATTGACCTGAAAAAACGAGTACGGAAAACGCTGAAAAATTCCGCAAAATGGCACTGGGCAATACGGATGGGGGTAGAGGGCACTTGGTAACACTGTGACTGTACCTGCTTGTATGTATGCATACATGATCACGTATCATTATTGCACACGGGAACTGTGGCATGACTTACCCTCAGTGCATCCGTCCCCACACGGGAGTACGAGCCCTCCTTTTCCTTGAAAGACACTCGCACTTCCGAGTCGCTTCGATCTGTCACTTCAACGAATGAAATACTACAATGTTGGCTCCATTCGCTGGCAATGGGTAGCACTCGATCACGTTTCGGATGATCTTCAGTAAAGTACACTTTTATAGCCTCGGACTTCTTTTTCGCCCAGAGGTTCTTTCTATCCTTGTTGGCCAATGCAAACTGGGGTTTCACCACATTCGTACTGTCCTGACTCGGTCGCCTTTCAGCTTGGGGCTCAGTCCCACCCGATGCGGCCACTTCGTCCTGTTCGTCCGACTCTTGCTTTGAAGAGTTAGCGGCACATTCAGCTTTGCGCTGTTCAACATCTTGTAGCTGATCGCGTTCATCGCCAACCTCGTCGCTAGGTAGAAACACTGGATTGCGGCACCACATGACCGCTTTCTTCACAGCACTCAACACGACTGACGTTGTATCCGTGCTATCGAAATGGAGCAGCAGTAAACTTATCTAGGTCGCTAATACTATGGGTAAAATGAATACTTGCTTTTACTATCAGTATCTGAAAGAGAAAAAAACTGTTTCTACAGTGATCATGTACATGACTAATTGAACTACATTATTTTTACAAACGCCAAAGGGCCAAAGGCAGGGCCGGGAGAGATTGAAGAAAATCCGAAAATGAGTCACCTTGTCACCACAAGGCGCTAATTCTAGTCTGTACTGACTGTAGACTACTAGTACTACTACCAAGAGTCCATAACGGCAAGAGTATGCAACTGTGATTATGGGTGCATGCGTACGCGTGGCGCGCTGCCTAGGCGCCTTCATTACCATGATTACGTAACTAAGTTACTTGCCTTCATCACGCTCTGAAAGCATGCATTCAAACTCTCAATTTCTCGCACGAGCCCATCCGTTTTTGCTCGATTCGTTCCAGTACCTACACAATCTCTGAATTCTGATGCGTCTAGCACATCTCAATTCTAAAATCCACCGGGAATCCACAGGAAAACTACACAGACTACCCTGTTATTATTCATTGCAAAAGAACACCGAAAGGCCAGACCGCATGGTGAAGACAAATGTCTAGACTACTGAAGGATTCTCTGAATCCTTGTGCCATTAACAAGAGGCAGGATGAGCGCGTTACGGGTTGAGTTTGTCGAAAACCAATTGTACTTCATCATGTGTGAAGGGGTTTTATGAAGAAATATTTTATGAACCAGTGTACAGAGATGGTGCTTATGACGAACGGAGAGAGGAGAAGTGTGTGCAAGTCGATAAAGGGCATCCGAAGGAAAACATCGATCCTTGTTGTAAAGAATTTTAAGTGTAAATCTATGGTGGACTTCTAATTGGTTCAGAGTTGTGTCAGAAAGGCCACACCAAGCGGTATCGCAATAGTCGAATATAGGGAGAATATAGCACTGATAAAATAATAGTTTACGCTGGATGGGCAAATGAGTGCAATGTGGTTGTAGTACCCCTTATGCTGAACTGGTTCGCTTGCATACACAGTTGACATGTGCAGCCCAAGAGAGTTTGCAGTCAAACATCACACCTAGATGTTTGTGCTGAGTAACAACACGGATAGGCATAGTCGAGTCAGGGAAGTATAATGGTTGATCAGGAGGGGATGAAGAAATATACATGGCTTCTGTCTTGTCTATATTGGGCTGGAGTTTCCACGTTTGCATCCACATGACAGTGCTGTTGATGCGATGCTGCATGGTAAAGAGTAATTGTGCAGGGGAGGAATCAGAACAGATAAGGCCAGTGTCATCCGCATACAAACTAACATCGGGGACAACTGAAGGTAGGTCATTAACGTAAAGCAAGAATAACAAAGGACCCAGAATGGAACCTTGGGGCACTCCAGACGTTACAGGGAGGGGATCAGACAAGAAATAGGACAAGCGAACAGCCTGAGAACGAGCAGACAGATACGAGGATATCCAACGCAAGGCAGCATCCTCCACCCGGAAGGTGACCTCCAACTTGGCAAGTAAGCCACGATGCCAAACGGTGTCGAATGCCTTAGCCAAGTCGAAAAACACCATTCCCACGTGCTCCCCACAGTTCCTCTTTGTCGCTATGTCTTGGACAAGTCGAGTCACCTGGTATTGAGTTGAGTCACCACGGCAGAATCCCGACTGAGCTGGTGAGAGAGCCGGAGCGATGTGCAGGTAGAGGGAATCGAATACAATACGCTCACAAAGTTTGGAAACTGTGCGCAGCAGAGAGATGGGGCGGTAGTTTGCCGGGCAAGCACGGGAGCCTTTATTCTTGTAAAGCGGTGTCACGATGGCGGATTTCCAATCCTGTGGGAATGTACCAGTTCGAAATGACATATTTAAAAAAAATAATGGCGAGAGGATAGGCTATTGATGGTGCAAGAGACTGCAGCACTTCATTCGGGATCCCATCTGAGCCGGGAGACTTTCCACATTTCAGGCGCTTCAGATATTTCCGAACTTGAAACGTAGTGACATGTCACGGCTGTTAGCTGCACTTGGATCGCGGCAACTTAGTTTTCTGCACGTGAACCCTGAAAAATCAATGCATGCTCATGCATGTTCATGCATAACCAGTCAGCTGGCCTGCTCGCCCACGCATTTGACAGGTAACAATTCCATCAAATTTGAGATATCGCTTCGTTCTAAGTCTCAAAACAGTTCTAAAGTCACCAAACCACGCTGGTAATCGATGGCTATTCAATGTTAACATCTTCAGGAAGACTTCAGCCGTTTCCCGAGAGTTTGGGCATCGTTGCCGTTATTTTTCACGGTGTTCTTCTTCGTCCTGTCTGGAGCTGCAATTGCATCCTGGAATTATTTGAAAGGTATTTCGTGCGGGCTGTGGGGGGTTCCAACAGGCATAAACTGACATCGCTATAGGATAACTGGTAACTTTCACCCTTCAAGGAGGTAGAGCAATGAGAATTTTTTTGTGGCGGTCGTCCAATTTTTGTGGCGGTCATGGCTGTATTTGTGCACTTCCAAGGCTTTCATTCTGCCTGATACTACTTCGGACTGTATGGGAATCGTTGTTTAGGCACATGTAGCTGTCTTATTTGGTAGATCTGCTGTTTTCAATCACTTGGGACACTTTGTCTAGCCTATTTGTCTTTCGTTCGTGCCATCTATCAGTTTTGTGGGGTGCCTTGACCTGTATTTGTGAAGTTCTCGAGTAAAGACCCTAATTCTTGACTGGAGTCACGTCTTGAATTGAATTTGCTTGGTGAGCCCTCGTTCACGCAGTTGTACTTATCGTAATAGTCAATATCTGCTTGCTGGACGGACTAGCGGCTAGAATAGGGATGACCAAATGGTCCAAGTGTGTACTAGTACACGATTATTGTTTCCATCATCGTGAAATGCTCGTTGTGGAATTGCAGCCGTCTGCCTTTGGCACTGAGGACATGAGGAGAGTTGATTGTTACTTCTGCTCAGCAATGAAGCGATCATCAGCTCTCTTTGTTCTAATTATTGAGAGGACATACCGGCATCGCAATCAAGTAAAGATTAGGCAAACCTCGCCAACCTCCAAAGAGAGTCGAAGATATTTTCTCCAAATGCAAAGACGATCTTTGTGAGTTTGTGACTTGCATTTGCGTGCATACATGAGCAAGTCATGGACCACGGCACGTGCGCGGTTACCATGCCATCTCGAACCGACGCCATCTTTCTAAGTTGCCGCTTCTTGACAGCCGTGGACAGTGATTGTACGGAACGGAACAGATATGAAAGGCGACTGGGGCAAAAGGGGGAATGCGCCACGAAGGATCATCAGCCAGCCCAAATGAGGTGAACTGAGTGTTCAGAATATCAGCTATGCTCTTGGGGGACGTGGCGACCGTACCGTCGGATGCTATCATCGTTTGGGGCATGACACGGCCGGAAGTGTGCCGCTGTGCTCGCACAAACTGAAAGAGTGTAGGTCGATTCGGTGACGTTAGTGATGCTTGGATGGAGCGTATATATTGACGATGTGCTTGCCGAGACAGGTGCTTTACAGCATTCCTTTGTCGGTTATAAGCTGCATGATTTACTGCTGTCGGATATTTTTTGTACACACTATATAGATCACGCTTGCGTTTTACAGCAGACCTGAGCCCAGCAGTAACCCATGGTGGAGATTGCATGCGGGGTCGTGGAGATGTCACAGTGTGGGTGGCTCCGAATGAGGTGAGGTGACGACGGAAGGCGGACTGGAGCTCACAATCAAAGTGATGAAGTGCGTCATTAACATCAGTGTACGAGTTCAGAGAGGACCAGTTGTAGCCAGCTAAATCAGCGTTGATTAATTGCCAAAGGTGCGAAGGTACTTGTTTGAAGCGATACAGTGAAGAGGGAGGACCAGTGGAAGAGTTGGGGAAGTAGTTCGAAATAGGGGCGTAACATAAAGTGCAAACAATCTGTATATGGTCAGACATACCCAAGGGAGGTGCTTGATCAATTGAGCGCATGAGGCGTGGTCGGTTGGTGATCACCAAGTCCAGACACGAAACAGAGCCATTAGGCGAGGAATGAGTGGGGAAGTCAACCATCTGGTGGAGCCCAAGAGCAGCAAATACTGTGCTAAGGAGATCACCAGCCTTCGAGGTAGACTCGGTGGGACACCAGCTTGAGTTGTGGGCGTTGAAATCGCCAGTCACTAACAGATCATAAGAATCTAAACAGACTGACTGTAATGCCTCAACAAACATGTCACAAAAGTACGACAATTGCATTGTGCTCTGTGAGGGTGGTCGATACATGCAGCATAGTAAGATGTGATTCTGAGATTGAGTAGAGGGGGAGCCAAGTTCAAGCCACACAGACTCGCAGCCAGGGCGTTGAAGGTCGGCACGAGGGGAGACGTAAGGAAAGGAGTCCGAACGGACAAGTACGGCAACACCCCCATACCCACGGCTACAATGTGCTTACCGATTGTCTTCCGGAGGTCGATCTCTGCGGATGCAGATATAGCCTGACAGTGAGAGCGGGTTCGAGGGACAGAGCCACGTCTCTGTTAGGCAGATTATGTCAGGCTTAGCACATTCGGCAATAACGCAGAGCTCAGACAACTTGTTGACAACAGAGCGACAATTCAGAGATACTAGGGTTAAATCACGCTGGGATTTAGGGAAAAAAGGGAACGCTGATGGATTTAGCGCAAGACCATTCGACTTAGCACCCCGAAGACTACAACTGGTGAAAAGTAGCAAAAGCCATGGCAACTAACGCACCATTCAACAGCTTGGAATCCTGACCGCCACTAGTGACTAGGCACTATTCAGCCTGGTCTACACCACACTGTGGCACACAGCTATGAAGTGACATTTTCTGTCCCAGGGGAAACTCGCGGAAAAAAAGGGCACATTTTCGGCCATAACTCTTGAACGGCTGGTCAGATAGGGACACAGTTTTCAGAGAATTTGCAGCTATTCATGCTCTTTCAACTGACGTAGCACTCAATATGAATTTACAAATTCGATTTTTCAGCGAATTTTTGGGTGATGTGCCCCCTTAAGGGGGCACATCACCCAAAAATTTCATATGGCATTCAATTGACCGTAACTTTGGTGTTTCTCAGTGGATTTGAGTGAAATTTTGACCACACACTCCTGCCACTATGCTGGCCCTCAGGACATGATTTACAAGTTCTTGCGCCTCACTGACAGGCTTTCCAGGCCGGAAAAACTCAAATTTCCGGCATAGTGCTACGGTGTGCGAGCCACCCAGGAGCCAAACAAATGCATTTACATTTTTTTCACATTTTCGTGCCCATTCTGTCCGTGCGCGGGACCCAAACCTAAAACAAGTCCAGAAGCAGCCATGGGTGGTGGGGTACGGCCCCTCAACGTGGCCCTGGAATCTGTCACAACGGAACGAGTGGGCGTTCTTTCACGGACTCCCACAGACCCAAGTCAATTTTTGAATTTTTTTAGGTTTGGCACGTGCTACGAGGTCGTACCTTTGATACAACATCCAGTGCTGGGACCTCCACAGCAAGCCATTTCCACAGCGCTGCACACCAAATCCAGGATGCCCTCAGAAACCGGCAAAGACTGCCACTAACGTTTCACTACTGCCTAGTACTGAATCCTACCTGACTTCTTGACACGACTCAAACTTGCCAAAGTCACTAAATCAACGTCAACTACAATAATCAAGCCACATATCTGGAACGTCACGAGGGTGCTGGCAAAAGTCCTGCTGCACGGCGGCGGGCTTCGCCCGCCGCCGTGCAGCCCAATCGTGGTTTTTTAACGTGATTTTTTGGACTTTTTTGGACAAATGACAGCATGCGACAAAAAAATCTTTCCTTGCAAGGGCACATTTTCGGCCATAACTCTTGAACGGCTGGTCAGATAGCACGGCTGTTAGCTGCACTTGGATCGCGGCAACTTAGTTTTCTGCACGTGAACCATGAAAAATCAATGCATGCTCATGCATGTTCATGCATAACCAGTCAGCTGGCCTGCTCGCCCACGCATTTGACAGGTAACAATTCCATCAAATTTGAGATATCGCTTCGTTCTAAGTCTCAAAACAGTTCTAAAGTCACCAAACCACGCTGGTAATCGATGGCTATTCAATGTTAACATCTTCAGGAAGACTTCAGCCGTTTCCCGAGAGTTTGGGCATCGTTGCCGTTATTTTTCACGGTGTTCTTCTTCGTCCTGTCTGGAGCAGCAATTGCATCCTGGAATTATTTGAAAGGTATTTCGTGCGGGCTGTGGGGGGTTCCAACAGGCATAAACTGACATCGCTATAGGATAACTGGTAACTTTCACCCTTCAAGGAGGTAGAGCAATGAGAATTTTTTTGTGGCGGTCGTCCAATTTTTGTGGCGGTCGTGGCTGTATTTGTGCACTTCCAAGGCTTTCATTCTGCCTGATACTACTCTCTACTGTATGGGAATCGTTGTTTAGGCACATGTAGCTGTCTTATTTGGTAGATCTGCTGTTTTCAATCGCTTGGGACACTTTGTCTAGCCTATTTGTCTTTCGTTCGTGCCATCTATCAGTTTTGTGGGGTGCCTTGACCTGTATTTGTGAAGTTCTCGAGTAAAGACCCTAATTCTTGACTGGAGTCACGTCTTGAATTGAATTTGCTGGGTGAGCCCTCGTTCACGCAGTTGTACTTATCGTAATAGTCAATATCTGCTTGCTGGACGGACTAGCGGCTAGAATAGGGATGACCAAATGGTCCAAGTGTGTACTAATACACGATTATTGTTTCCATCATCGTGAAATCAGCGTTGTGGAATTACAGTCGTCTGCCTTTGGCACTGAGGACATGAGGAGAGTTGATTGTTACTTCTGCTCAGCAATGAAGCGATCATCAGCTCTCTTTGTTCTAATTATTGAGAGGACATACCAGCATCGCAATCAAGTAAAGATTAGGCGAACCTCGCCAACCTCCAAAGAGAGTCGAAGATACTTTCTCCAAATGCAAAGACGATCTTTGTGAGTTTATGACTTGCATTTGCGTGCATACATGAGCAAGTCACGGACCACGGCACGTGCGCGGTTACCATGCCATCTCGAACCGACGCCATCTTTCTAAGTTGCCGCTTCTTGACAGCCGTGATAGGGACACAGTTTTCAGAGAATTTGCAGCTATTCATGCTCTTTCAACTGACGTAGCACTCAATATGAATAATTTACAAATTCGATTTTTCAGCGAATTTTTGGGTGATGTGCCCCCTTAAGGACGCGAGCACTATTGAACCATTATCAGTTGTATGATGATTGCCTATTTAGGCGTGAAGCTATTGTAACAACGGTGATGCGTGCTGCTCTGTGACTAGTGTGCACTGGGTGATGCGTCGAATGCTTAGGCCTTGACCATCTTGTTGACGGATTATGCTAATATTTTCGTGAAATTATGCTTTTCGCATTGCTGAAAAAATTGCAGAATTATGCTGTTTTTATGGTAAAAGTTACCATATTATGCCGCATTATGCTCACATACGCTGCTAATGCAAAATGGTTCTGTGCAAAATAACAAGGGAATTTTTTTGTAGAGTAGGTTGTACTGTAGTACTAGTAGCAAAAGTTCAACGGGGTCAATGCATCGTCCGACCTGGCTACGACCATCACTGATTGTAGTGGACTGGACATATCATCAAGGCCAAGGGAGTCGTAAACCTACTTCCTACTATCCTAGTGCATCTACTTGTACTTGTACTTGTAGAACATGTTCAACTGTATGGAATTTGATGCGAACAGGCGGATTATTACAATTTTATGCGATTCGTATGCAATTTGCCTCGAATTATGCGATTATTCGATTCTGGAAGGAATTATGCGAAAAATTATGCTAGCATAATCCGTCAAGGCCTACGAATGCTACATCCATAGTTACATTATCATCAACTAACTATTTTATTTATAATTACTTCAAAGAAGTATTTTTATTTAAAGGATCTCCCAGAGGCGATGGCCTGTCGAGGGGATCTCCTGATGCAAATCATGCAATAGAAATAAACAGTGAGGAAAACTACACGTGTTACAGTATATGCTACATAATGAGCAATAAACTACTTAGTGTGTGCGGATTTTGGCTAGCCCACTTCGATGCCCTAACGCCTTGTGCATGCCCTATACAACAGGTATACTTGTACTGTGATCACTTTCTGTAAAAAAAATCTATTTTCCGCTTTGCCATGATTGCTGTGTTTGCTTTCTTTCTATATAAAATAACATGGCGAGCACGGAGACACATTTATATTTTCATGTCATGGTATGCATGCATGGTGAACGTATTAGAACTCAACTGGCACTTGGAACATTATTGTAAGTGAGATGTCTGGCTTAATCTGCATGTATCTACATAGAAGGAAACCAAACATTGGCTGAAGATGATGATACAGTGAAACTTGTCTAGTCGACTGCTCAAGGGACTTTCAAAGTGGGGTCTCTGTAGCAAGGTGGTCTCTTTATCCCAGTGGCATTTGACTGGAAATAGCATCCCTTGGTCCTGGCTGCAGTGATCTCCTGGGACAGGTGGTCGCCTTATCCGAGTGGTCGCCTTGACAGGTTTAATAACTGTACATGCGTCCAGGTGAAGACAAACAGAGAGCCAACATGTAACATGTGTAGCACGGGGACGACAACCCTTGACCTTGGCCTTGGCAGCAGTGATCAGTCGTCTACCTACCCACATACACATTCTCGTCTATGACACATGCAAGGCTGCATACTGGCGGCAAGACTCATTCGTCAAGGCAAACACAGTAAACCCAGTCGGTCACCTCAGCTATGCTGCAACTACACGACCAACGGTGTACTAGGAAAATCTCCACAGCGCTGGACAGCACTCTTGGTCTACTGTCAACAAAAGATCTGGAAAAATCTTTTTGAATATACCTATTTCAAGTACTAGAATAACCTTTGACTCAGATTTGAGCCATAAAATAAATAATACAATATTTGATGAAGTTGATTGTTCCAACTAGAAACACACGCTTCTTGCCGAACTTGACACTTGACTGACTTGACTGACTTCATGTTGATAGCCGCCGAAGTCGCAACGTCTAAGTTCGTACAATCTTTGATATTTAGAAAAACCGTCGATATCCTCAGCGCAAACGCTCCGCCTTTGGCAAAGGCCCTGATCACAATATAGTAGGTCTTGGCGGGGAGAAGAGGGTGCACAACACGCGGGTTACCATCCTCACCACCATCAGTGGCTGCAGCGATGAAACGTGTTTCAATGTCAGGACCATACAGGGTGAGTGCCAGGTCAGCTTCATCGCCAGTCGTCTAAGCAGTTAAAACAACAAACACCGGAAAATCGTCCAGAACACACCTTTAACGCCCCCCCCCCCCCCCCCCCCCAACGGTTGCACATGCAATGCTCATTTCTCACCCGCATGAGACCCGGAAAGCGAGCTATTCCGCCTCCATCTGGGGTCGCGGGCATTCCTAGTGTGTTTACATACATCCAAGAAACTGACTGGGACCCTGAGTGAAGGCAGTCGAGAAACCTCCTGGCCGGGCCAGCCTGTTTGACACGTGAACGCACCACAACTTTCCGCCTTGGCAGCGTACATATCCCACATGCGCATTCATGACGATATTCCGCCTTGGCAGCGTACATTTCCGCAGTCCCAAATGCATGCTGCATCCCGTCATTCAATGAGGTTGTTAAACTGTCCGGGCAGGAGTGACTGTAGGTGCAGGTCGGGCTGAACTTCTCCATATAACCATGGTTTTATCCACCCATAACCTAGTTTTCAAAGCTGACGGGACTCTTTTATCGGAATTAACTTGTACTACCTCCGCGTCATTAAAATTGTCGCTTCGCACATCGCAATGTTTGTGAGTTTCTCGTCTTAGTCAGACAGTCAGAATCGCTGTTTTCTGTGTTCGAACATTAATGCGACCCTTCCTGCGCAATGTCTACGTTTTACTGAAGCCGTGGTGGTCTCAGACTTTGTCGGAGCTCTCTTCTGCACCAAACAAATCCATTGCTCTCCTCACTATTCCGCCCCAGAGCGCGTATCGTTTTTTTCTGGTTTTAGTGCCGTCCCACATTTTTCCCGTGTGCATATATCAAGACTGCAAGCTTGGGTATAATAATCCTGGTATCTCTCCTGAATTCTAAATTCTGAAGTTGACGATGGCAAGGACAAAGTGTTCTCAAATTCCTAAAATGCGCTACGTGTGGCGCATGTTGCTGGGAATGTAGTACAGTCAAACCTCGTTAGGACGAACTTCAAGGGACTGAACACATTTGTTTGTCTTATCGGGAGTTCTTCTTATCCAGATCTGACAAAAAATCGATATGCATATCATATGGATTGTATTTACATGTACGTGAAGGTGCATGCTGGTGTACATGGGAAGCATGTTATTCTTAGCATAAGCCAGAAACAGGTAAGTACAATGACAAAGTGCAATGAATCACGACTGTGTCGAAAGTTCGTACAACGCACTGATTATTTTGTTAAAAACACGCTTGAAAACAATTTGCACTGTACGTACAATATGACCTCGACTATTGAAAACAAAGAAGAAAAAAGGCAGCCAGCGCACGCGCACGCTCGTGGACCGAAAGTTTGTACTACATGTACATGACCACACTGATTTTGTTCAAATCACACTTGAAAATAGTTCGTCTTCGCGAAAGTTCGCTGTACAGAAGTTCGTCGTAAACGAATAATTTTGACTTGAATTGATGCCTGGCCAACCATAGGATTGGCCTTAGTTCGTACTAATGGAAAGTTCGCCTTATCAGTGTTCGTCCTAACGAGGTTTGACTGTAGGTCTGAAAACACCAACAACATCAGTAAAGCGTTTGCCAAGGACAGAAGTTGCGAAACTGCTTACCCTATCTCGCTGGAAGGTCGTTGCAGTGTACTTGAAAAATTGCTACTTTGCCCTAATCGCCTGCCACCTGGAGGCATGGATCGCATGAAAACGAAGTTTCTAGACCTGAATTTGAACGCCCGTGCTGAAGGGTCTGCCTCAAACTCTGATGAAGACGTCAACCTTAGCTGCAAGTGCAGCGAAGCGGGAGGTCACAAACTAAAGCTTGGTCCGTCGACAATGCTCTGCCTCAATTTCTAGCTGATTTCTTTGCCCTTCGAGTGGACAAATTAAATTCGAAAAATCGCTCTGGGTAGGGACAATTTTAATGACGCGGAGGAAGTACCCAGAACGTCTAGAAGCACATCTCTCTCTCTTTCTCTCCCTCCCTTCCTCCCTACCTCTCTCTCTCTCTCTCCCCCTCCCCCCCCCCCCCCCCCATGAAAACACACATCTATCACACACATACCTCGATTGTGTACTTTCTTTTTTCTTTTGGATCACTTGTGAACGTGAATTTCATTTCCTCTCCAGGGCTGATGTGATCTAGAGGAAACAGCAAAGTGCAAAATAATAGGAAGTTGGGCCTTATGGCATCTCTCCGAGACTGGTGCGAATCACTCGCAAAGCTCCAGTCCTGGTTCGATGCAGTCAATCAGCATGTTGATATCGTACGTACGGAATTGAGCAAGCAGCTGATATACTCTATCAAGCCGCGGTGATGCAGCCAGCTGTTTTGTTCTACCATGTGCACAGGGACTGTGTGACATCATAGACTCATGAATATCAGGCACGTAGGAGCAAATTCACAAACACATTACAAAATTGTATATATAGGGACACTTCCCCCATCAATGCCTTTGTAAGATGTTCAGTTCATAGGCCAGCGAAACAAAAACTTCTTGGGACGATTTACGGCCATTGCAACGGAAAGTGCTTCTACTGCAAATATCAATGATTCACAGCTCAGCGCACTAAACCAGCATTGAGCGATGCGCAGCTAGTGCGTAAGATCTCATTCATGCTAAGCAAGGGATTTTGAAGACAGTGCCTATTGTCAAAGTTTCAAAAAATAGCAGTGCTGCTGCTGCTGCTGCTCAATGGCTGAACCTGACCATCCTGTAGTGCTATAAACTGCAAAACAGAGAGTGCCAGAATTCTGTCTGGTTTGCCTCAAAGTCATCTGCCTTTGTGGAAAGCCCCCGTCTCGCAGTTAAAAGACGCTGCCTTGGATGCTTTGTGCCGATATAGACATGCCTTGTTGTTGACTTGACCGCATAGGGATCAGTTCAGCCAATCAATCTGAGCTCTGGGTTAACTGGGTTATTCTTAGTGCCAGCAGTCGCCAGCAGTTGTCTCAGGAATGGAGATGAATGTTTTATTAAAAGGGAGGGTAATCTTACTCTTTGACTTGTCAGCATCTTCAGGCAGAGTCTGCGGTTCTTCCTTTGGTGGTGCTGGCTTTGTGCCAGGAGGACCGTAGAGTTTCCTCACAACGAGTTTGTCCGTCGGTGAAAGCTCTGATATCACGGGAAAATCAGAATCCTGTGTCGGCCTCCCATCAATGCTCAATATCAACCCTTTAGGAAATCTGTGCACGACAACCAACAGTTTACGTACAGAACACGGACAGAAGTCAAGAAATCAAACTACTAATAAGTTAAACAAACAATAAGAGAACTGAAAAAGTGTTTTTTTAAACTCTTGGACAGCCTGAAACCTCTCTGTTTTACTAATATGTTATAAATATAATAATATGTTCATCCTTGCATCGAGTCAAGAACTTGGTTTTAGCACTGGACTCCCACTACGATGCCTTTAGCCGATTGGCAAATGCTTTCACTTACTAATACTTGACTTCACCGCAATCTGTTCAACCAGACACTAAGAGCCCTGCTGATAATAAAGAACACGATTGAAACAGCTAGTTGTTCGAAGATTCAGTACCAATATATTTAGTATGATTTCACCTCGAAGCATGAACTTAATCCAGCCTATATGGTGCTTGGTCCTGCCGCTGATCCCGAGACCCATGGTCGGGGGAGGTAGGCCCAAATCACCACCCATGGTCGGAGGAGGTAGGCCCAATTCACCAACACGCTGCGCCGGTTTCCCGCTCTATAGTCATGTCTCCCCATTGGTTCAGTCTTCCCATTCCGTTCCCCGCTGGACTGTGTATTTCAGAAAGAAAAATAAAATAAAAAAATAAATAAAGAATGGACTCGGATGGAGAGCCAAGGATAAATATATATTAAATAAAAAATGGACCAAGGAACTACATGTAAAAGTTACGCTATAATGTCCACTAACACCACCAGTTACTAAACGGCTAGTTAGTTGTAGGACGTCAGTACCGTCGGTCAGTGTCGTGAGCTGATTGTTTCGTACCTGGTGGTGTTAGTGGACATTATAATTATAGCGTAACTCGTAGTTACTTGGTCCATTTTATATTTAATATAAATTTATCCTTGGCTCTCCATCCAAGTCCATTCTTTATTTTATTTTTTATACTGAAATACACAGTGCAGCACTTCATTTTTTTATTTACAGGTGGAATCCTGATAATTCGAATATGGCTTAATTCGAACATACCGCTTAATTAGAAGTGTTTCCAGGATTGATTTCTGTCAATTCGATTCCCACATAAAGTTTTCTGATAATTCGAACCTCGAACCGGACATGTCCGGTTAATTCGAAGTTCCACGGATTTCACTTTCATAGAAAATGTGTGGGATTTGTGCTGATAATTCGAAGTAAGCAAAGTGTAATTCGAAGTTCACTATACACTGTAATGATCAGTTCAGTTTGCATGAGCAGGCTGTGCTGGTCAGTTCAGTATCCGTGAAATCTGTATCTAAGGTCCATAGCGCAACTCTACGTGAACATGGGAGCATTTTGACATACATATTGTGTTGTGGGTTCATGTTTGGATAATTAGAATGTCCGGATAATCAGAAGATTTTTCCTGGCATTTGGAGATTCGAATTATCAGGATTACACCTGAAATATAAAAAGTAAAGCATTGAGTTACATGGAGACACTTACCTATAGTGCATGATGGACTGCATGTCGTATGTAGAGCCTGTAACATCATCCGCCTTGAACGGTTCCAGGATTTGTCTCTGGATCTGCTCCTCATCCCAGTAGTTTGGTGACCCCGTGAACTCTGCCATCACCTTGGGCACGTTCCAGAGCACAATGCCCTTGATGGGTGACTGGTGTTCGTGCAGTAGACCAAGCACGTGACCAAATTCGTGGAGTACAGTTGACTTGTCAATCACAGCAAGGTTCATCGTGCACTCATCTTTAGGAATCTGAAAACGCGCATGCCGGGGAAGGTGAACGAGAGAGAGAGAGAGAGAGAGAGAGAGAGAGAGAGAGAGAGAGACAGAGAGAGTGTCACAGTGTGCGTAATGCATGCATCTACGTGACTGGCGCTCGACCTACTGTTGTGGACATGGAAATCCGGTCGCACGTCTAGCGGCCCCAGGGTGCTGGCCATGCAGCCGTGGATAAGCGGTACACACATGCAATTTATGCGCTGCAGCGTGATAGTCGCATCGAATCAACATGTGCCCTTCACGCAGCGTTCTGTACGCGCTGAGGGCGCCGGCCCCGGTCAATCGACCGGATTTCCATGTCCATGACAGTACGTAGCTAACTGAGCTATACGTAACGTTGCGTTCAGGCACAGCCACTAGTCTACGGTACCGGCGCTAGTGACATGTCCACTCACGCGCGATGAAAATACAGTATTTTTTGCTGGACTCGACTACGCTGTACAGACTGTCAGTGTACTGTGCTTGTGCAAGGACATCAAAGACAAAGCGTGGACAGTAGGCATGTCGCATACATGTACATCAGGGGCGTGCTCGGCCCCCCAACTAGGGGGGTGCACGGGAGCCGAGGGGAGCCCCCCCCCCCCCCCTCGGCAATTTTCTGCAATTTGTTTGCAACCTTTCTTGAATTTTAGAGCATATTTGCATACATTACAATTGCAATTACCCAGATTGAAAATGTTTGGGGGGTGCACGTGCCCCCCCGTGCCCATCGCCGAGCACGCGCCTGTACATGTATGTATGTCCAAAGTGGAAACCAGTGTTTTCATCTTGGTCTTGAAGTGGGTGCTTTGGTCTTGGACTGGAGTACGAGCGGCTGTTTGTGTTGTTAGTAAAATTACTGTTCAGGTTTGTGGTTTTGAGGACAAAGGCAATGAGTTTTCAGCAGAAGACTTTGTCGGCTCTCTGGGAAAAAAACAGCGTGAAATTTCTGACGGAGAGTCGGATTCTTCCGCCACCGGCACTGCTGAAGGCAGCAGCCAAGTTGAAGTTCAAGACTGTGACGAGCCAAGTTTCACAATAGAGGACGAAACTGATGACGAGCCCGCTGCAAAAAGATTGACTTTTGGTGAAGATTATGACTTTTCCGACGTTGGCACACTCTATGATGACGAGAATTGTCGGTGGAAACTCTGTCCACGCACTGCCCCTTTATAAAACAAAGGTGGCGATCGCCAATCAACACTGGACACCCACCAAGTCCTTCCCTTATCCAGTCAGTAGCTTATTGCAAAATGGGGGTCGGAACTTTTTGGAAACCACCTTTTTTTGACCCGGTGCACGCGCCTGATGAAGAGTTCAAAGAGCACAAGCAAAGAAGACATCTGAGGGTGATAGCGTCCCTCATTGGGCACAACTCTACATGACTGCAGTGTTACCACTGCCCGTATTTGTCCGTATTTTTACGGAAAAAAGATGTTTTGTCCGCAGTACGGATTTCAATCGAATTATGCCGGAAAAAGCGTTTTTGTTTTCCACTCGGCGAAGTGTTTTGGTAGTCATAGAATGCTTTGGAGTTTGGACTGAAGTGTAAAAATGCAACGAAGTTTTGCTTAGCGGAGGAAGTATACAGGTGAGAAATTACAGGAAATTCAGCAAGTGCAGCCGGTGTGACAATGGACATGCATGTGCAAGTCTGTGTGTATTGTTTTTTTTCCAAATTACACTAATAATCAGTGAGAATATTGACCTGAAAAAACGAGTACGGAAAACGCTGAAAAATTCCGCAAAATGGCACTGGGCAATACGGATGGGGGTAGAGGGCACTTGGTAACACTGTGACTGTACCTGCTTGTATGTATGCATACATGATCACGTATCATTATTGCACACGGGAACTGTGGCATGACTTACCCTCAGTGCATCCGTCCCCACACGGGAGTACGAGCCCTCCTTTTCCTTGAAAGACACTCGCACTTCCGAGTCGCTTCGATCTGTCACTTCAACGAATGAAATACTACAATGTTGGCTCCATTCGCTGGCAATGGGTAGCACTCGATCACGTTTCGGATGATCTTCAGTAAAGTACACTTTTATAGCCTCGGACTTCTTTTTCGCCCAGAGGTTCTTTCTATCCTTGTTGGCCAATGCAAACTGGGGTTTCACCACATTCGTACTGTCCTGACTCGGTCGCCTTTCAGCTTGGGGCTCAGTCCCACCCGATGCGGCCACTTCGTCCTGTTCGTCCGACTCTTGCTTTGAAGAGTTAGCGGCACATTCAGCTTTGCGCTGTTCAACATCTTGTAGCTGATCGCGTTCATCGCCAACCTCGTCGCTAGGTAGAAACACTGGATTGCGGCACCACATGACCGCTTTCTTCACAGCACTCAACACGACTGACGTTGTATCCGTGCTATCGAAATGGAGCAGCAGTAAACTTATCTAGGTCGCTAATACTATGGGTAAAATGAATACTTGCTTTTACTATCAGTATCTGAAAGAGAAAAAAACTGTTTCTACAGTGATCATGTACATGACTAATTGAACTACATTATTTTTACAAACGCCAAAGGGCCAAAGGCAGGGCCGGGATCGGGACACGGCTGTTAGCTGCACTTGAATCGCGGCAACTTAGTTTTCTGCACGTGAACCATGAAAAATCAATGCATGCTCATGCATGTTCATGCATAACCAGTCAGCTGGCCTGCTCGCCCACGCATTTGACAGGTAACAATTCCATCAAATTTGAGATATCGCTTCGTTCTAAGTCTCAAAACAGTTCTAAAGTCACCAAACCACGCTGGTAATCGATGGCTATTCAATGTTAACATCTTCAGGAAGACTTCAGCCGTTTCCCGAGAGTTTGGGCATCGTTGCTGTTATTTTTCACGGTGTTCTTCTTCCTCCTGTCTGGAGCTGCAATTGCATCCTGGAATTATTTGAAAGGTATTTCGTGCGGGCGGTGGGGGGTTCCAACAGGCATAAACTGACATCGCTATAGGATAACTGGTAACTTTCACCCTTCAAGGAGGTAGAGCAATGAGAATTTTTTTGTGGCGGTCGTCCAATTTTTGTGGCGGTCGTGGCTGTATTTGTGCACTTCCAAGGCTTTCATTCTGCCTGATACTACTCTCTACTGTATGGGAATTGTTGTTTAGGCACATGTAGCTGTCTTATTTGGTAGATCTACTGTTTTCAATCACTTGGGACACTTTGTCTAGCCTATTTGTCTTTCGTTCATGCCATCTATCAGTTTTGTGGGGTGCCTTGGCCTGTATTTGTGAAGTTCTCGAGTAAAGACCCTAATTCTTGACTGGAGTCACGACTTGAATTGTATTTGCTGGGCGAGCCCTCGTTCACGCAGTTGTCCTTATCGTAATAGTCAATATCTGCTTGCTGGACGGACTAGCGGCTAGAATAGGGATGACCAAATGGTTCAAGTGTGTACTAGTACACGATTATTGTTTCCATCATCGTGAAATGAGCGTTGTGGAATTGCAGTCGTCTGCCTTTGGCACTGAGGACATGAGGAGAGTTGATTGTTACTTCTGCTCAGCAATGAAGCGATCATCAGCTCTCTTTGTTCTAATTATTGAGAGGACATACCGGCATCGCAATCAAGTAAAGATTAGGCAAACCTCACCAACCTCCAAAGAGAGTCGAAGATATTTTCTCCAAATGCAAAGACGATCTTTGTGAGTTTGTGACTTGCATTTGCGTGCATACATGAGCAAGTCACGGACCACGGCACGTGCGCGGTTACCATGCCATCTCGAACCGACGCCATCTTTCTAAGTTGCCGCTTCTTGACAGCCGTGGGGAGAGATTGAAGAAAATCCGAAAATGAGTCACCTTGTCACCACAAGGCGCTAATTCTAGTCTGTACTGACTGTAGACTACTAGTACTACTACCAAGAGTCCATAACGGCAAGAGTATGCAACTGTGATTATGGGTGCATGCGTACGCGTGGCGCGCTGCCTAGGCGCCTTCATTACCATGATTACGTAACTAAGTTACTTGCCTTCATCACGCTCTGAAAGCATGCATTCAAACTCTCAATTTCTCGCACGAGCCCATCCGTTTTTGCTCGATTCGTTCCAGTACCTACACAATCTCTGAATTCTGATGCGTCTAGCACATCTCAATTCTAAAATCCACCGGGAATCCACAGGAAAACTACACAGACTACCCTGTTATTATTCATTGCAAAAGAACACCGAAAGGCCAGACCGCATGGTGAAGACAAATGTCTAGACTACTGAAGGATTCTCTGAATCCTTGTGCCATTAACAAGAGGCAGGATGAGCGCGTTACGGGTTGAGTTTGTCGAAAACCAATTGTACTTCATCATGTGTGAAGGGGTTTTATGAAGAAATATTTTATGAACCAGTGTACAGAGATGGTGCTTATGACGAACGGAGAGAGGAGAAGTGTGTGCAAGTCGATAAAGGGCATCCGAAGGAAAACATCGATCCTTGTTGTAAAGAATTTTAAGTGTAAATCTATGGTGGACTTCTAATTGGTTCAGAGTTGTGTCAGAAAGGCCACACCAAGCGGTATCGCAATAGTCGAATATAGGGAGAATATAGCACTGATAAAATAATAGTTTACGCTGGATGGGCAAATGAGTGCAATGTGGTTGTAGTACCCCTTATGCTGAACTGGTTCGCTTGCATACACAGTTGACATGTGCAGCCCAAGAGAGTTTGCAGTCAAACATCACACCTAGATGTTTGTGCTGAGTAACAACACGGATAGGCATAGTCGAGTCAGGGAAGTATAATGGTTGATCAGGAGGGGATGAAGAAATATACATGGCTTCTGTCTTGTCTATATTGGGCTGGAGTTTCCACGTTTGCATCCACATGACAGTGCTGTTGATGCGATGCTGCATGGTAAAGAGTAATTGTGCAGGGGAGGAATCAGAACAGATAAGGCCAGTGTCATCCGCATACAAACTAACATCGGGGACAACTGAAGGTAGGTCATTAACGTAAAGCAAGAATAACAAAGGACCCAGAATGGAACCTTGGGGCACTCCAGACGTTACAGGGAGGGGATCAGACAAGAAATAGGACAAGCGAACAGCCTGAGAACGAGCAGACAGATACGAGGATATCCAACGCAAGGCAGCATCCTCCACCCGGAAGGTGACCTCCAACTTGGCAAGTAAGCCACGATGCCAAACGGTGTCGAATGCCTTAGCCAAGTCGAAAAACACCATTCCCACGTGCTCCCCACAGTTCCTCTTTGTCGCTATGTCTTGGACAAGTCGAGTCACCTGGTATTGAGTTGAGTCACCACGGCAGAATCCCGACTGAGCTGGTGAGAGAGCCGGAGCGATGTGCAGGTAGAGGGAATCGAATACAATACGCTCACAAAGTTTGGAAACTGTGCGCAGCAGAGAGATGGGGCGGTAGTTTGCCGGGCAAGCACGGGAGCCTTTATTCTTGTAAAGCGGTGTCACGATGGCGGATTTCCAATCCTGTGGGAATGTACCAGTTCGAAATGACATATTTAAAAAAAATAATGGCGAGAGGATAGGCTATTGATGGTGCAAGAGACTGCAGCACTTCATTCGGGATCCCATCTGAGCCGGGAGACTTTCCACATTTCAGGCGCTTCAGATATTTCCGAACTTGAAACGTAGTGACATGTCACGGCTGTTAGCTGCACTTGGATCGCGGCAACTTAGTTTTCTGCACGTGAACCCTGAAAAATCAATGCATGCTCATGCATGTTCATGCATAACCAGTCAGCTGGCCTGCTCGCCCACGCATTTGACAGGTAACAATTCCATCAAATTTGAGATATCGCTTCGTTCTAAGTCTCAAAACAGTTCTAAAGTCACCAAACCACGCTGGTAATCGATGGCTATTCAATGTTAACATCTTCAGGAAGACTTCAGCCGTTTCCCGAGAGTTTGGGCATCGTTGCCGTTATTTTTCACGGTGTTCTTCTTCGTCCTGTCTGGAGCTGCAATTGCATCCTGGAATTATTTGAAAGGTATTTCGTGCGGGCTGTGGGGGGTTCCAACAGGCATAAACTGACATCGCTATAGGATAACTGGTAACTTTCACCCTTCAAGGAGGTAGAGCAATGAGAATTTTTTTGTGGCGGTCGTCCAATTTTTGTGGCGGTCATGGCTGTATTTGTGCACTTCCAAGGCTTTCATTCTGCCTGATACTACTTCGGACTGTATGGGAATCGTTGTTTAGGCACATGTAGCTGTCTTATTTGGTAGATCTGCTGTTTTCAATCACTTGGGACACTTTGTCTAGCCTATTTGTCTTTCGTTCGTGCCATCTATCAGTTTTGTGGGGTGCCTTGACCTGTATTTGTGAAGTTCTCGAGTAAAGACCCTAATTCTTGACTGGAGTCACGTCTTGAATTGAATTTGCTTGGTGAGCCCTCGTTCACGCAGTTGTACTTATCGTAATAGTCAATATCTGCTTGCTGGACGGACTAGCGGCTAGAATAGGGATGACCAAATGGTCCAAGTGTGTACTAGTACACGATTATTGTTTCCATCATCGTGAAATGCTCGTTGTGGAATTGCAGCCGTCTGCCTTTGGCACTGAGGACATGAGGAGAGTTGATTGTTACTTCTGCTCAGCAATGAAGCGATCATCAGCTCTCTTTGTTCTAATTATTGAGAGGACATACCGGCATCGCAATCAAGTAAAGATTAGGCAAACCTCGCCAACCTCCAAAGAGAGTCGAAGATATTTTCTCCAAATGCAAAGACGATCTTTGTGAGTTTGTGACTTGCATTTGCGTGCATACATGAGCAAGTCATGGACCACGGCACGTGCGCGGTTACCATGCCATCTCGAACCGACGCCATCTTTCTAAGTTGCCGCTTCTTGACAGCCGTGGACAGTGATTGTACGGAACGGAACAGATATGAAAGGCGACTGGGGCAAAAGGGGGAATGCGCCACGAAGGATCATCAGCCAGCCCAAATGAGGTGAACTGAGTGTTCAGAATATCAGCTATGCTCTTGGGGGACGTGGCGACCGTACCGTCGGATGCTATCATCGTTTGGGGCATGACACGGCCGGAAGTGTGCCGCTGTGCTCGCACAAACTGAAAGAGTGTAGGTCGATTCGGTGACGTTAGTGATGCTTGGATGGAGCGTATATATTGACGATGTGCTTGCCGAGACAGGTGCTTTACAGCATTCCTTTGTCGGTTATAAGCTGCATGATTTACTGCTGTCGGATATTTTTTGTACACACTATATAGATCACGCTTGCGTTTTACAGCAGACCTGAGCCCAGCAGTAACCCATGGTGGAGATTGCATGCGGGGTCGTGGAGATGTCACAGTGTGGGTGGCTCCGAATGAGGTGAGGTGACGACGGAAGGCGGACTGGAGCTCACAATCAAAGTGATGAAGTGCGTCATTAACATCAGTGTACGAGTTCAGAGAGGACCAGTTGTAGCCAGCTAAATCAGCGTTGATTAATTGCCAAAGGTGCGAAGGTACTTGTTTGAAGCGATACAGTGAAGAGGGAGGACCAGTGGAAGAGTTGGGGAAGTAGTTCGAAATAGGGGCGTAACATAAAGTGCAAACAATCTGTATATGGTCAGACATACCCAAGGGAGGTGCTTGATCAATTGAGCGCATGAGGCGTGGTCGGTTGGTGATCACCAAGTCCAGACACGAAACAGAGCCATTAGGCGAGGAATGAGTGGGGAAGTCAACCATCTGGTGGAGCCCAAGAGCAGCAAATACTGTGCTAAGGAGATCACCAGCCTTCGAGGTAGACTCGGTGGGACACCAGCTTGAGTTGTGGGCGTTGAAATCGCCAGTCACTAACAGATCATAAGAATCTAAACAGACTGACTGTAATGCCTCAACAAACATGTCACAAAAGTACGACAATTGCATTGTGCTCTGTGAGGGTGGTCGATACATGCAGCATAGTAAGATGTGATTCTGAGATTGAGTAGAGGGGGAGCCAAGTTCAAGCCACACAGACTCGCAGCCAGGGCGTTGAAGGTCGGCACGAGGGGAGACGTAAGGAAAGGAGTCCGAACGGACAAGTACGGCAACACCCCCATACCCACGGCTACAATGTGCTTACCGATTGTCTTCCGGAGGTCGATCTCTGCGGATGCAGATATAGCCTGACAGTGAGAGCGGGTTCGAGGGACAGAGCCACGTCTCTGTTAGGCAGATTATGTCAGGCTTAGCACATTCGGCAATAACGCAGAGCTCAGACAACTTGTTGACAACAGAGCGACAATTCAGAGATACTAGGGTTAAATCACGCTGGGATTTAGGGAAAAAAGGGAACGCTGATGGATTTAGCGCAAGACCATTCGACTTAGCACCCCGAAGACTACAACTGGTGAAAAGTAGCAAAAGCCATGGCAACTAACGCACCATTCAACAGCTTGGAATCCTGACCGCCACTAGTGACTAGGCACTATTCAGCCTGGTCTACACCACACTGTGGCACACAGCTATGAAGTGACATTTTCTGTCCCAGGGGAAACTCGCGGAAAAAAAGGGCACATTTTCGGCCATAACTCTTGAACGGCTGGTCAGATAGGGACACAGTTTTCAGAGAATTTGCAGCTATTCATGCTCTTTCAACTGACGTAGCACTCAATATGAATTTACAAATTCGATTTTTCAGCGAATTTTTGGGTGATGTGCCCCCTTAAGGGGGCACATCACCCAAAAATTTCATATGGCATTCAATTGACCGTAACTTTGGTGTTTCTCAGTGGATTTGAGTGAAATTTTGACCACACACTCCTGCCACTATGCTGGCCCTCAGGACATGATTTACAAGTTCTTGCGCCTCACTGACAGGCTTTCCAGGCCGGAAAAACTCAAATTTCCGGCATAGTGCTACGGTGTGCGAGCCACCCAGGAGCCAAACAAATGCATTTACATTTTTTCACATTTTCGTGCCCATTCTGTCCGTGCGCGGGACCCAAACCTAAAACAAGTCCAGAAGCAGCCATGGGTGGTGGGGTACGGCCCCTCAACGTGGCCCTGGAATCTGTCACAACGGAACGAGTGGGCGTTCTTTCACGGACTCCCACAGACCCAAGTCAATTTTTGAATTTTTTTAGGTTTGGCACGTGCTACGAGGTCGTACCTTTGATACAACATCCAGTGCTGGGACCTCCACAGCAAGCCATTTCCACAGCGCTGCACACCAAATCCAGGATGCCCTCAGAAACCGGCAAAGACTGCCACTAACGTTTCACTACTGCCTAGTACTGAATCCTACCTGACTTCTTGACACGACTCAAACTTGCCAAAGTCACTAAATCAACGTCAACTACAATAATCAAGCCACATATCTGGAACGTCACGAGGGTGCTGGCAAAAGTCCTGCTGCACGGCGGCGGGCTTCGCCCGCCGCCGTGCAGCCCAATACGTGGTTTTTTAACGTGATTTTTTGGACTTTTTTGGACAAATGACAGCATGCGACAAAAAAATCTTTCCTTGCAAGGGCACATTTTCGGCCATAACTCTTGAACGGCTGGTCAGATAGGGACACAGTTTTCAGAGAATTTGCAGCTATTCATGCTCTTTCAACTGACGTAGCACTCAATATGAATTTACAAATTCGATTTTTCAGCGAATTTTTGGGTGATGTGCCCCCTTAAGGACGCGAGCACTATTGAACCATTATCAGTTGTATGATGATTGCCTATTTAGGCGTGAAGCTATTGTAACAACGGTGATGCGTGCTGCTCTGTGACTAGTGTGCACTGGGTGATGCGTCGAATGCTTAGGCCTTGACCATCTTGTTGACGGATTATGCTAATATTTTCGTGAAATTATGCTTTTCGCATTGCTGAAAAAATTGCAGAATTATGCTGTTTTTATGGTAAAAGTTACCATATTATGCCGCATTATGCTCACATACGCTGCTAATGCAAAATGGTTCTGTGCAAAATAACAAGGGAATTTTTTTGTAGAGTAGGTTGTACTGTAGTACTAGTAGCAAAAGTTCAACGGGGTCAATGCATCGTCCGACCTGGCTACGACCATCACTGATTGTAGTGGACTGGACATATCATCAAGGCCAAGGGAGTCGTAAACCTACTTCCTACTATCCTAGTGCATCTACTTGTACTTGTACTTGTAGAACATGTTCAACTGTATGGAATTTGATGCGAACAGGCGGATTATTACAATTTTATGCGATTCGTATGCAATTTGCCTCGAATTATGCGATTATTCGATTCTGGAAGGAATTATGCGAAAAATTATGCTAGCATAATCCGTCAAGGCCTACGAATGCTACATCCATAGTTACATTATCATCAACTAACTATTTTATTTATAATTACTTCAAAGAAGTATTTTTATTTAAAGGATCTCCCAGAGGCGATGGCCTGTCGAGGGGATCTCCTGATGCAAATCATGCAATAGAAATAAACAGTGAGGAAAACTACACGTGTTACAGTATATGCTACATAATGAGCAATAAACTACTTAGTGTGTGCGGATTTTGGCTAGCCCACTTCGATGCCCTAACGCCTTGTGCATGCCCTATACAACAGGTATACTTGTACTGTGATCACTTTCTGTAAAAAAAATCTATTTTCCGCTTTGCCATGATTGCTGTGTTTGCTTTCTTTCTATATAAAATAACATGGCGAGCACGGAGACACATTTATATTTTCATGTCATGGTATGCATGCATGGTGAACGTATTAGAACTCAACTGGCACTTGGAACATTATTGTAAGTGAGATGTCTGGCTTAATCTGCATGTATCTACATAGAAGGAAACCAAACATTGGCTGAAGATGATGATACAGTGAAACTTGTCTAGTCGACTGCTCAAGGGACTTTCAAAGTGGGGTCTCTGTAGCAAGGTGGTCTCTTTATCCCAGTGGCATTTGACTGGAAATAGCATCCCTTGGTCCTGGCTGCAGTGATCTCCTGGGACAGGTGGTCGCCTTATCCGAGTGGTCGCCTTGACAGGTTTAATAACTGTACATGCGTCCAGGTGAAGACAAACAGAGAGCCAACATGTAACATGTGTAGCACGGGGACGACAACCCTTGACCTTGGCCTTGGCAGCAGTGATCAGTCGTCTACCTACCCACATACACATTCTCGTCTATGACACATGCAAGGCTGCATACTGGCGGCAAGACTCATTCGTCAAGGCAAACACAGTAAACCCAGTCGGTCACCTCAGCTATGCTGCAACTACACGACCAACGGTGTACTAGGAAAATCTCCACAGCGCTGGACAGCACTCTTGGTCTACTGTCAACAAAAGATCTGGAAAAATCTTTTTGAATATACCTATTTCAAGTACTAGAATAACCTTTGACTCAGATTTGAGCCATAAAATAAATAATACAATCTTTGATGAAGTTGATTGTTCTAGGAACACACGCTTCTTGCCGAACTTGACACTTGACTGACTTGACTGACTTCATGACGATAACCGCCGAAGTCGCAACTTCTAAGTTCGTACAATCTTTGATATTTAGACAAACCGGCGATATCCTCAGCGCAAACGCTCCGCCTTTGGCAAAGGCCCTGATCACAATATAGTAGGTCTTGGCGGGTTGAAGATGGTCCACAACACGCGGGTTACCATCCTCACCACCATCAGTGGCTGCAGCGATGAAACGTGTTTCAATGTCAGGACCAGACAGGGTGAGTGCCAGGTCAGCTTCATCGCCAGTCGTCTAAGCAGTTAAAACAACAAACACCGGAAAATCGTCCAGAACACACATTTAACGCCCCCCCCCCCCCCCCCAACGGTTGCACATGCAATGCTCATTTCTCACCCGCATGAGACCCGGAAAGCGAGCTATTCCGCCTCCATCTGGGGTCGCGGGCATTCCTAGTGTGTTAACATACATCCAAGAAGCTGACTGGGACCCTGAGTGAAGGCAGTCGAGAAACCTCCTGGCCGGGCCAGCCTGTTTGACACGTGAACGCACCACAACTTTCCGCCTTGGCAGCGTACATATCCCACATGCGCATTCATGACGATATTCCGCCTTGGCAGCGTACATTTCCGCAGTCCCAAATGCATGCTGCATCCCGTCATTCAATGAGGTTGTTAAACTGCCCGGGCAGGAGTGACTGTAGGTGCAGGTCGGGCTGAACTTCTCCATATAACCATGGTTTTATCCACCCATAACCTAGTTTTCAAAGCTGACGGGACTCTTTTATCGGAATTAACTTGTACTTCCTCCGCGTCATTAAAATTGTCGCTTCGCACATCGCAATTTTTGTGAGTTTCTCGTCTTAGTCAGACAGTCAGAATCGCTGTTTTCTGTGTTCGAACATTAATGCGACCCTTCCTGCGCAATGTCTACGTTTTACTGAAGCCGTGGTGGTCTCAGACTTTGTCGGAGCTCTCTTCTGCACCAAACAAATCCATTGCTCTCCTCACTATTCCGCCCCAGAGCGCGTATCGTTTTTTTCTGGTTTTAGTGCCGTCCCACATTTTTCCCGTGTGCATATATCAAGACTGCAAGCTTGGGTATAATAATCCTGGTATCTCTCCTGAATTCTAAATTCTGAAGTTGACGATGGCAAGGACAAAGTGTTCTCAAATTCCTAAAATGCGCTACGTGTGGCGCATGTTGCTGGGAATGTAGTAGGTCTGAAAACACCAACAACATCAGTAAAGCGTTTGCCAAGGACAGAAGTTGCGAAACTGCTTACCCTATCTCGCTGGAAGGTCGTTGCAGTGTACTTGAAAAATTGCTACTTTGCCCTAATCGCCTGCCACCTGGAGGCATGGATCGCATGAAAACGAAGTTTCTAGACCTGAATTTGAACGCCCGTGCTGAAGGGTCTGCCTCAAACTCTGATGAAGACGTCAACCTTAGCTGCAAGTGCAGCGAAGCGGGAGGTCACAAACTAAAGCTTGGTCCGTCGACAATGCTCTGCCTCAATTTCTAGCTGATTTCTTTGCCCTTCGAGTGGACAAATTAAATTCGAAAAATCGCTCTGGGTAGGGACAATTTTAATGACGCGGAGGAAGTACCCAGAACGTCTAGAAGCACATCTCTCTCTCTTTCTCTCCCTCCCTTCCTCCCTACCTCTCTCTCTCTCTCTCTCTCTCTCTCTCCCCCTCCCCCCCCCCCCCCCCCATGAAAACACACATCTATCACACACATACCTCGATTGTGTACTTTCTGACTTCTTTTGGATCACTTGTGAACGTGAATTTCATTTCCTCTCCAGGGCTGATGTGATCTAGAGGAAACAGCAAAGTGCAAAATAATAGGAAGTTGGGCCTTATCATCTCTCCGAGACTGGTGCGAATCACTCGCAAAGCTCCAGTCCTGGTTCGATGCAGTCAATCAGCATGTTGATATCGTACGTACGGAATTGAGCAAGCAGCTGATATACTCTATCAAGCCGCGGTGATGCAGCCAGCTATTTTGTTCTACCATGTGCACAGGGACTGTGTGACATCATAGACTCATGAATATCAGGCACGTAGGAGCAAATTCACAAACACATTACAAAATTGTATATATAGGGACACTTCCCTCATCAATGCCTTTGTAAGATGTTCTGTTCATAGGCCAGCGAAACAAAAACTTCTTGGGACGATTTACGGCCATTGCAACGGAAAGTGCTTCTACTGCAAATATCAATGATTCACAGCTCAGCGCACTAAACCAGCATTGAGCGATGCGCAGCTAGTGCGTAAGATCTCATTCATGCTAAGCAAAGGATTTTGAAGACAGTGCCTATTGTCAAAGTTTCAAAAATTAGCAGTGCTGCTGCTGCTGCTGCTCAATGGCTGAACCTGACCATCCTGTAGAGCTATAAACTGCAATACAGAGAGTGCCAGAATTCTGTCTGGTTCGCCTCAAAGTCATCTGCCTTTGTGGAAAGCCCCCGTCTCGCAGTAAAAAGACGCTGACTTGGATGCTTTGTGCCGATATAGACATCCCTTTTTGTTGACTTGACTGCATAGGGATCAGTTCAACAAATCAATCTGAGCTCTGGGTTAACTGGGTTATTCTTAGTGCCAGCAGTCGCCATTAGTTGTCTCAGGAATGGAGATGAAAGTTTTATTAAAGGGGAGGGTAATCTTACTCTTTGACTTGTCAGCATCTTCAGGTAGAGTCTGCGGTTCTTCCTTTGGTGGTGCTGGCTTTGTGCCAGGAGGACCGTAGAGTTTCTCAACAACGAGTTTGTCCGTCGGTGAAAGCTCTGATATCACGGGAATATCAGAATCCAGTGGCGGCCTCCCATCAATGCTCAATATCAACTCTTTAGCAAAGCTGTGCACGACAACCAACAGTTTACGTACAGAACACGGACAGAAGTCAAGAAATCAAACTACTAATAAGTTATAAAAACAATAAGAGAACGGAAAAAGTGTTTTCACTCTTGGACAGCCTGCAACCTCTCTGTTTTACTAATATGTTATAAATATAATATAATTTGTTCATCCTTGCATCGAGTCAAGAACTTGGTTTTAGCACTGAACTCCCACTACGATGCCTTTAGCCGATTGGCAAATGCTTTGACTTACTAATACTTGACTTCACCGCAATCTGTTCAACCAGACACTAAGAGCCCTGCTGATAATAAAGAACACGATTGAAACAGCTAGTTATTCGAAGATTCAGTACCAATATATTTAGTATGATTTCACCTCGCAGCATGAACATAATCCAGCCTATATGGTGCTTGGTCCTGCCGCTGATCCCGAGACCCATGGTCGGGGGAGGTAGGCCCAATTCACCACCCATGGTCGGGGGAGGTAGGCCCAATTCACCAACACGCTGCGCCGGTTTCCCGCTGCATAGTCATGTCTCCCCATTGGTTCAGTCTTCCCATTCCGTTCCCCGCTGGACTGTGTATTTCAGAAAGAAAAATAAAATAAAAAAATAAATAAAGAATTGACTCGGATGGAGAGCCAAGGATAAATTTACATTAAATAAAAATGGACCAAGTAACTACATATAAAAGTTATGCTATAAATAATGTCCACTAACACCACCAATTACTAAACAATCAGCTAGTTAGTTGTAGAACGTCAGTACCGTCGGTCAGTGTCGTGCAATTCCATCGCATGAGCTGATTGTTTAGTACCTGGTGGTGTTAGTGGTCATTATAGCGTAACTTGGACATGTAGTTACTTGGTCCATTTTTTTAATTTAATTTAGATGTATCCTTGGCTCTCCATCCGAGTCCATTCTTTATTTTTTTTTTATACTGAAATACACAGTCCAGCACTTCTTTTTTTTATTTAATATAAAAAGTAAAGCATCGAGTTACATGGAGACACTTACCTATAGTGCATGATGGACTGCATATCGTATGTAGAGCCCGTAACACCGTCAGCCTCGTACCGGTCCAGGATTTGACTCTGGATCTGCTCCTCATCCCAGTAGTTTGGTGGCCCCTTGAACTCTGCCATCACCTGGGGCACGTTCCAGCGCACAATGCCCTTGATGGGTGACTGGTGTTCGTGCAGTAGACCGAGCACGTGACCAAATTCGTGGAGTACAGTTGACTTGTCAATCACAGCAAGGTTCATCGTGCGCTCACCTTTACCAACCTGAAAACAAATATGCCGGGGAAGGTGAGCGAGAGAGAGAGAGAGGAAGAGAGAGAAAGAGAAAGAGAGAGAGAGAGAGAGAGAGAGAGAGAGAGAGAGAGAGAGAGAGAGAGAGAGAATGAGAGAGAGAGAGAGAGAGAGAGAGAGAGAGAGAGTAAGTTACATTTATAAAGACAGGTAAGTTACATTATAAAGACAGGTAAGTCTAACAAATGAGGACTGAGACCTCTACAACAGGGTTTTTTACGCCTGAAAGCAGGTGCATGAATTAACAAGCAGGTTGTCAGTCTAGATTTTATGCGCAGATGGAGAAAAAGCGCAGAATTTTGTAATGAGATGAAAAGCAGAAATAATAAGAACTAATAAGAAAAGATGAAATGAAAGCCTGCTCACAACCGCCCAGCCTTGTGAACTGGGTATGGTGGATTAAGAACCCGGTTCAACGCTCGAGCAAGCGCTCTCCACTCAAGGTTCACAGCAACTGATAGGAACTCATATGGGGAAATTATAGAAAAGAATAATAAGATAAAGAGAATAAATTTCAACGCACCTCAATAAACGGAGCCCCACATACAGTACCTCAGAAAAGTGGATCTTCCGACCAGAGAGAGAGAGAGAGAGAGAGAGAGAGAGAGAGAGAGAGAGAGAGAGAGGGAGAGAGAGAGAGAGAGAGAGAGAAGAGAGAGAGAGAGAGAGAGAGAGAGAGAGAGAGAGAGAGAGAGAGAGAGAGAGAGAGAGAGAGAGAGAGAGGTGAGAGAGATGGGAAGGAGGGGGGTGAGCGATGTCGAGAGAGAGAGATGGAGAGAGAGAGAGAGAGAGAGAGAGAGAGAGAGAGAGAGAGAGAGAGAGAGAGAGAGAGAGAGAGAGAGAGAGAGAGAGAGAGAGAGAGAGAGAGAGAGAGAGGGAGAGAGAGAGTGAGTGAGAGAGATGGGGAGGAGGGGGGGGTGAGCGATGTCGGAGAGAGAGAGAGAGAGAGAGAGAGAGAGAGAGAGAGAGAGAGAGAGAGAGAGAGAGAGAGAGAGAGAGAGAGAGAGAGTGAAAGAGAGAATACATTAACGTACAGTCATATAATTATGCTGTGTGCATCATAGAAGTTGCCCAACAGAAATCTGTACATGGTACAATAGGATCACATCCTCTGGCACAATCTATATGCAGTGCAGTTATGAAGCACGAGAAACGTTTGCCAATGCAAATGTTAATGATCAGTGATGATATTTGTAACCGTTTTGAACGGCAGTGGCCACCGATATCCGGTATGATCTTTGTCATCCCCTCCGGCCTGACATGTCGACACACTGCAGCAACTTACGTCACCGATACGCAAATATGTGCCATGAATTCTGAGAAGTTTGACATTATTTGAAAACAAACTGGGTGTCGGAAACTGGGTAATGTACGGGATGAAGAAGTTGAAGAGCGCAAGCAAAGACGGCATCTGAGAGTGATAGGGACCCTCATTGGGCACTACAGGCAGACCTCGCTTATCCGGTCCTCTTCCATCCGGATCCCTCACCATCCGGAAGAAAATCGTTGGTTACCGATTTACAGCAAACGCCATGCATACATACAGTGTGTGTGTTCGACATCCAGTTCCCTCGCCGATCCGGATATTTTTGTGGAAAACGGATGTGCGCTGTTAAGCGAGGTCTGACTGTACTGTACTGCGAGGTCTGACTGTACTGTACTGCGAGGTCTGACTGTACTGTACTGCGAGGTCTAACTGTACTGTACTGCGAGGTCTGACTGTACTGTACTGCGAGGTCTAACTGTACTGTACTGCGAGGTCTGACTGTACTGTACTGCGAGGTCTGACTCTACTGTACTGCGAGGTCTAACTGTACTGTACTGCGAGGTCTAACTGTACTGTACTGCGAGGTCTGACTGTACTGTACTGCGAGGTCTGACTCTACTGTACTGCGAGGTCTGACTGTACTGTACTGCGAGGTCTGACTGTACTGTACTGTGAGGTCTGACTGTACTGTACTGCGAGGTCTGACTGTACTGTACTGCGAGGTCTGACTGTACTGTACTGCGAGGTCTAACTGTACTGTACTGCGAGGTCTGACTGTACTGTACTGCGAGGTCTGACTGTACTGTACTGCGAGGTCTAACTGTACTGTACTGCGAGGTCTGACTGTACTGTACTGCGAGGTCTGACTGTACTGTACTGCGAGGTCTAACTGTACTGTACTGCGAGGTCTAACTGTACTGTACTGCGAGGTCTGACTGTACTGTACTGCGAGGTCTGACTGTACTGTACTGCGAGGTCTGACTGTACTGTACTGCGAGGTCTGACTGTACTGTACTGCGAGGTCTGACTGTACTGTACTGCGAGGTCTGACTGTACTGTACTGCGAGGTCTGACTGTACTCTACATGACTGTACCTACTTGTATGTGTAACTGTTACATACATTTTTACGTATCATTATTGCACACGGGGAACTGTGGCATGACTTACCCTCAGTGCATCCGTCCCCACCAGGGAGTACGAGGCCATGTTTTCCTTGAAAGACACTCGCACTTCCGAGTCGCTTCGATCTTTCACTTCAACGAATGAAATACTACAATATCGGCTCCATTCACTGGCATAGTGTAGCACTTGATCACGTTTCGGATGACTACCAATAAAACACACTTTTACAGACTTCCCTTTTGGCCAGAGCTTCATTCCATACTTGGATTTATTCGTGTAGGTTAATCCAAACAGGGGTTTCACCACATCTGTACTGTCCTGGCTCGGTCGCCTTTTACATTGTGGCTCAATCCCACCCGATGCGGCCACTCCGTCCGGTTCGTCCGACTTGTGCTGTGAAGCGTTAGCGGCACATTGAGCTTTGCGCCGTTCAACATCTTCTAGCTGATCGCAGGCGTGTACAAGCTCGTCGCCAGGCAGAAACACTGGATGGCACCGCATGACCGCTTTCTCCACAGCACTCAACACGACTGACCTTGTATTCGTGCTATCGAAATGGAGCAGCAGTAAACTTATCTAGGTTGCTAATACATGTATTATGACTATGGGTACATGATTACTAACTTTTACTAACAGTATCTGAAAGAGAAAAATAATTGTTCTGTATGATGTAGCATTCTTCAGTTTCCACTGAAGCCAAACTAGTTACTTTTGCCAGTTTCGGCCCAAACGCCGAAGGCAAAGGCAGGAGAGATTGAAGAAAATCCGAAAAAGAGTCACAAGGCGTCACCATGGTCACGTGTATTTTACCTTGCTACCCGTACCCGTCCTTGCACCTGCACTGAAAAACGTGACCCAGGCCCAGTCGGCTGTCTAGCTAGCCTAACGCTAGCCAGTAGCCTGGTTTGTAGATCAGTGCTCGCTGAACTATGTACAAAAACTACAATGAATGGTGTACATGTGGCAGACCGTGCAAGAAGTTGAAGAACTGCCATGGTGTGTGGGTGTGGGGGGGGGGGGGGGGGGGCGGGGGGATTTACTGGGCAGAAAAACAACATAATAATTATTATTTATACTTACTTCATAATATAAATCATGGCTGTGTGGTGTAGACGAGGCTGAATAGCATTAGTGAATGGTGAAATCCCAGCACAAGTTAGTTGCTATGGCTTCTGTTGTAGCATCGCTAACATCGCCTCCGGCGATGGGCGTCAAGTGGTCAAATGGTGTGTGTGTGTATGTGCGTGTATGTGTGTGTGTGTGTGTTTTCTTATTCTTCACATACACAACTCGAAAATAAAATAATATTGAAACACAATAGTACTGAGACTAGGACAAGCATAGAGTCTACCAACTACTGAGTAGGGGCTGGTGTACATGAGTAGGGGCTGGTGTACGTCATGTACATGTACATGCCAGCGGGTCCAAGCCCCAGTAGATCTACAAACCAGGCCAAGGAACTACTTGATGTCCATGACCTATATGTACAGTCATGAGTTTGGAAAGGAACGCAGTGCATGTAGACATTGTCGAGCACTCTGTTACCTTGACGACACGGTCACTTTTTTTTAACGTGATCACAACCCTATGAAACCGACAACAGCATTCAAATGAAGTACGGAGTCATCGCAGACAACAGGCTCTTATTCATGCAATATTCTTGCGCTCAAAAACACGATGTTCACAGCACAAGTCGTTCTCTTGAAAGTGGTAATGAAACTAACTGTGACAATGATAACAGACAACAGAAAGCAATACACACTCAACTCGCTGGAAAATGAAACAGTGGAAATTTGTACAAAAATAATATAAGGAGCAGCACCCATGATCAGGAAAATTCTCATCGCTGCCTAGGGTGTGATTGTGCATAAATGTATACAGTTGCCAGGCTGTCAATGAAAATACAGAAACAAAAATAGACTGCACAAAACACTTCGCCTAGCAATGCCATGGAGCGAGGACGGTGTCTACATACATGGCCGAGGCTGTGCAATGGCCCTGCACACTGTACACTGGGGCACGGCCGCTGCATGAAGCGGAATTCTTCTGTCTCTATAATACATAGCAGCGTCTCCATCGTTGCACTCACTGTTCCGTCACGTGTAACAGGCTATTGCGTTGTTTGGTAGCAGCGGCAACGTTCGACGATTGTGAACGTCAAATTGTTTGAAGCTCGGCGTTAGTAAGATCCTTGGAAGCAGCAAGTAACTGGAAAAGGCTTCCATCGGCTGAACATTGCTCGCCGTGAGTCTGCCTCGGCGGTGCCCAGCCAACTGTTAACAGCTCACTGCGGTCTCTGCAGTACAATGGGGTCTTGACACGTTGCACCTGCACGGGATACAAGTAACGCAAGCCCAGAGTCCAGTGAGAACCAGTGCACTACACTTGCACCTGAACTATCAATACATGTATTAGAACAGACCCCAGTCAGCAGCGGAACAAGGTCACATTGAATAAATATACAAGCTTCGAGCCAAGTGAGAACCATAACACTACTGCACTTGCACTTCAAGTATCCATATATGACCAGTGCACAAGTCAGCAGCGGAACAAGGCTATAGGTTTGCTATAACTCTGTGCTGCATGGTTTGGCGCCGCCATTGCAGTATCGAGCACTTCTGGACATAATCGAGTAACTTAGCTTGTCACAGTACATTGGAATAGGCAAAGCATTCTATGGACAGTCTAAGTCTACTCCCTCAGACGTGTGACTACTTTTCAAGTACAGTTGTGGCAAGTGAAATCCGACACTTGCCATAGGGGACAGCGCCACAAATGGACACCAATGATGTAATGCACTGCACCTAATTTGTACTATAGAGCCGTATGCATCCCAAACAGATCGAAAGGTCACAGCGTAGATACACACAGTTCACAAAATAATATAGTACACATAAGGAGTATTGGTATCCAATCTCCATTCATTTTTGTCAGCACCTTTTGAACCTTGACTGTGATGAGTACGAGTTTTGTCATCAGACGGATAAAGTTGTATGTAACACATGTACTGCACGCATGCAGGGCTGCAGGGGCTGCAGACTGCATGGTGCAGTCCCTTATGCCAAGTGTCGGATTTCACTTGCCACAACTGTACATTGAAATATGGGATTACAATGCAGTGCTAGCACACTCACACCGAGAGCTTGTGGTCCAGAGTCACACCCAGTTTGCCAGAACTTACCGGTGATATTCGCCACGGCGTGGATTTCGCTGCGCTTCTCTGCCTCCGCATCTTGCTCAGCTTGCACTCTACTCTCCTCTTTTCCACGGAGTAGCGCTGCCAGTACAGAGTACAGGAGAGGTCTGGGGGAAATCAAAGCCGCATGAGAGTTTCATGGCCAATGCTGGTTACTTGTATTTCTGGGTTTATGACAGCAATCGATGTGATAATTCGGCCAGCAAACTAATAAACAAGAGCAAGGTGAAAAGAATACAAGTTCTGATGTTGAATTAATGTGCAGTGATTCCAGAACAGGTAAACTTTGCAACTGAAGTAGATATTGACCCTAAACTACTGCAGTAACACATGCAGAATTCGGCAAAATATTATTCCAAGACCACGTCCTTCTATGTTGGCAATAGAGGGCGCGCTCCTACGAAACCTTTCACAGCACATTTATTGCTTACATGGCTGTAGATGCACCATTGCCTTCTGCTTCTGCCATCTCGTCAGGGTAGCCTAACTCTCGGCAGAGCACTTTACGGTGCATCCTTTCCCCAGTGTGCCCACTCTCTACGGTACACAAACATAGCATCAGCATGCAGACAAACAGTACGCAAACATAGCATCAATAATAATAATAATAACAATAATAATAATAGTTACAGTTCGCATGTCACTCATGGAAGGATCCATGGGCTTAACGCATCTGTCAACGAAATCCAGGCAGAAGAGCCGACAAAAGGCATCTCATTATTGTTAGAACGTATCGCAGTAAGAACAACTACGCAAGCGCAGCACATTTTTCCACAAGCATCAGCCATTCTTTCTTGTCTCATAGCATCAGCATGCAGATAGACAGTACACAAACATAGCATCAGCATGCAGATAGACAGTAAACTCACTACGACAGCGATCGAGTACATTGCATGTCCACTTTCAAGTACACCCACAGTTAAATGCATCAACCCGGCATCATGCCTACATGTGTGCCTATATGTGGCGGATTTCTGTTCGATTATGATTTACGCATGTTGTTGTATTTGGTTCTTGTCTGGCAGAGTCCAGTGTCTGATGTCATATATGGTCTAAGTGTACGTGTGATGTGTGACGTTTATGGCATGTGGTGCAAGCAAGAGTACGCGTTGTCAGAGTGTGAGGATCTGCTTCCGTCTGTGTGAGAGTGACTGTCAAGTGAATGCTGTACATGGGCAGTGCTAGTTTGGTCTGGGAATGAGAGTCATGTGTGATTCGTTCGTGGTCTGGTTGTCTTGGTCTTGGTCATGTGTTCTGTACGTATTAGTCCCTGATTGGTCGTCCGGATTTGTCGTCGCTTTATGACTGCTTGTTCTTCTGTTGTTTCTTCGTGTCTTTTCCCGTCGTCGTTTTCAGTCTAGTCTTTTTGTCTCTCTCCTCCTGCGCCCTCGTCATTTGTTGGTATAATATAATATAAGACAGTATTGAAGATACAATCAAGAGTTTGCGTTGTTGTGTGGCGGGGGCCAGGGGGAGAACACTATTTCATATATGCGGTCGCTCTATCCTACAAACTGAATGTAACACACACACACACACACGCGTACACACACACATGTACACACACACACATACACACACATACACACACACACACACACATGCCACCTCCTCCTCTCCCCTCCCCCTTCAGCAACATAATTGGCAATTCATGATATCCCTAAACATGTCACTACTTGCTGCTGTGTTGAGCCTGCAGACAGTGACCATGAACCTGGAAGGAGTCCCAGGGCAAGAGGAAGCACTTCTTGCAATTTTCAAAAATAGGAAACACAGAGGATATGCTCACCAGCATCCAATACCACCGCTGTGTAGCTATATTGATTGAACTCCAGGTACTCGCGAATCAGCTCATTCAGGATGAGATTCTCCCTGCACACAGCAGGACAAGGCTTTGTCTGCATACAGAGTTTTACAACAGAACACGCCACTGAATCTCAGCAGTTTTGCCGAACCAACACGCAGGCAACAGAGCCTGGACTAAACAACGTTAACGATCACCCTCAAATACCACCGTGCAGCATTTTGCACACACACACACACACACATAAGCGAGAGTGCGTCTGTGCGTGCACACACACACATACACACACACACACATGCAAGTTGCAACTCCTGTTTTGAGTTGTTTTTCTTCTCTCTTTTTCTTTCCCTACTAGTTGCTGTTACACTCACTGATCCTTATGCACAGATATACAGCATTCCCTCACTAGTGGGACCATTGTTATTAGGCTAGGGCCTGTTTTGGACTTCCCACTCTAAATTAAGAATACAAACAAACAACAAGCAACACATACACCTACAAACATATACACGCACACACACACACACACCTCAGACCTCAGACCTGCCCATCGCGGAAGCGATGATAGCGAACAGCTATGTTAGACATAGCAACTTGTGCTGGGATTACACCATTCAACAGCTTGCAAGGCTGATGAATTGACCGCCACTATTAAAGGGGAAGTTAAGCCTAAAATCAAATTTTCACCAGTTGTAGTCTTCGGGGTGCTGAGTCGAATGGTCTTGGTCCGAGGAAGCTGAGACGCTCCCTTCCTCCTTTGTTCCCAATCGAACTCACGCACTTCCACCGAAACTGGGTGACTGCGCCCTACTAGATGGGGATTTGTATGCAAAATGTCACTAAAAGTGCCATTTTGTTCTTATAACAGCACAGATGACCGCGATTGGCCCATATGTTGTAGTCTTTTGGACGCTGAGTCGACTGGTTTTGGTCCGAAAAGGCTGCGATGTAGCGTTCGGCGCTTATTCCCAATCGAACATGGTTGAACAAGCGGTCACATCCTCCTGCGTACACCAGTCACCTGGTCACCACGACAGCAGGCGACAAATTTCACACCAAGATTCAACTCGAGTGACAGAAACTCGCCCAAATATGCTGTAAGTTGTAGCCTGCAGGCACAGTAACCAGGTGACTGGTGTACGCACGAGCACGTGACCGCTTGTCCAGCCATGTTCGATTGGGAATAACGGCTGAACGCCACATCGCAGCCTTTTCGGACCAAAACCAGTCGATTCCGCGTCCAGAAGACTACAACATATGGGCCAATCGTGGTCATCCGTGCTTTTATAAGAACGAAATGGCGCTTTTAGTGAGATTTTGCATCCAAATCCCCATCTAGTAGGGCGCAGTTGTTGTTGTTGTTGAAATTTTATTTTGTATCGCAGACCAAACGGGCAATGGTGCCCTATATTATGATGGCGATAAAGTAACGGCCGAGAGCCAAGGATACAACAAGCAAGCCTCCACGAAAGAGAGAAAAACACAGAAAACACAGACTGCAAATACTCAAAAAGAAAAAAGAGAAAGGGAAAAAAAGAAAAAGAAAGAAGAAGAAAGCACAGTTGAGTCACAGTTGAGTCACGTCTCCAAGTCCAAGCCTAGATGCTGGCTAACCATAAAAATAAACCTTTAAAAGTCTCTTGAATGATCTATGGCAGGCGAGGGACTTGAACTCTTGGGGCAGGGCGTTCCATAATTTAACAGCAGAAACGAGCGGCCGACAGTCACCAGAGACTCGCCTGGTGGCAGGGACAACATACGCATTTGGATCGTTGATCCTAGTGACGCCTTCAGTCTGGCGACGTAGGCGCTTGGACAGGAGATTACTAATTCTGGCGGTGTGGATACGAAGCATGAGGAGGCGGAGTTTACAGTGGGCGTTTTGGATGATGGGGATGAGGCCTAGACAGGTGTAGATGGGATCTGTGTGGGAGGGGAATGGCTGGTTGGCAACGCAGCGGATACATCGCTTGTCGAGGACCGAAAGCTGATGCCGTTGGTGCGCAGAGAGAACCGAGAAGAAGGCATTAGATCCATACAACATGTCCGGTAGTATTAACGATCTGTAAAATAGCAGGGCTTGTTGCTCAGCAGTCACCCAGTTTCGGTGGTAGTGCGCGAGTTCGATTGGGAATAAAGAAGGAAGGGAGCGTCTCAGTTTCCTCGGACCAAGGCCATTCGACTCAGCACCCCGAAGACTACAACTGGTGAAAATTTAATTTTAGGCTCAACTTCCCCTCTAAGCCTGGTCTACACCACACAGCTATAAAGTGGCTTTTTCGGGCAAGTGAATCCCTACTTTTTGGTCTTTTTCATTTTTTTTTACGCACACACATCACACCACATACTCCGGCATACACTGGCTGTTGGTAACCACCCAGGAGAATGAAAGAAAAGTCAGGAGGAGTCTGAGAAAGAGAAGAAAGACGTGTGTGACCATATTCGTCGGGAATCGAACCCGCAACCTCTTGGTTGGAAATCACTGCACATACCATTGCACCAAATGGGACTTACCCCCCCCCCCCCCGACCTGATCTTGACATTGCCCATTGCGTAGCAATGATAGCGCATTGTTATTTCTCCAGTCCACGACAGAATGCCTGATGGCGTTTCAGGTCGCAGCTTCGGTGGAACATGCGGCCGCAGGTGCAACCATAGCCAGCAGCAGAGGGTGCCTTGGGTGGTCGACGGGCAATGGTACGCCACTCCAGACGGTTCTGGGCTACATTGTAACATCCACACGCTCGTACCGATGGCTCAACCGATGCAAAGTCATCCATAGCGACATCCCTCCACGTCTTGCGTGGACCATGTGCCGGGCGCGGGGCAGGCAGTTCACCGAAGAAAACACAATTTGGAAACCGGTGATCTTCCATCCGTGACACGTGTCCGAGCCAGCGCAAACGCCGCCCACACACACACACTCTCTATTTCTCTCTCTCTCTCTCTCTCTCTCTTTCTTTCTCTCTCTCTCTCTCTCTCTCTCTCTCTCTTTCTCTCTCTCTCTCTCTCTCTCTCTCTCTCTCTCTCTCTCTCTCTCTCTCTCTCTCTCTCTCTCTCTCGGCTTTGCTAAGCAGACCCAGAAAGTGTAAAAAATATGTCAGCTTGTCGCAATCTCGGGACCATGTCTTAAACAGACTGGCACAGTGTATTGGTCTAAGACCATCATAGAATATCGAGAGGTACGAGATCCAAATTCTGCTTTGAAGTGGATGGGATTTGTTGAGCCGTGCTGCAATCCCCACAGTCAATTGAGAACTCAAGACCTGGACGGAGAGGTAACTTAGAAGAATGTGGCAAAGTCGGTTCAGAACTTTATGAAACCTGGCATGGGTCTAGTCCTTTCACCTCCATTATTCAGGCACCACATCGTCTTCTTTCATTGGGTGTGAGCAGCCACAAGCAACGCATGCTGTAAAATCCACACACCAACGCAGACTACTAGGATCTACATTTTTGTTTTAACATCATGCAGTCCAGGTTATGTAAGTCAACAAAATATTCGGCGCATTTCAATTTTCGGCAATATTCGGCCCGGGCATTTTTGGCCGAAAATTTGTTGTGGCTGAAATTTCGTTTTGCAAGGTTCAGTGTGACAGTGTATACAGGCAGCAGCAGTACATGCCGGAATTTAATGCGGCCGAAATTTCAACGAGGCAAAAATTTGTAGACATGCAGTATAGGGCTTTCATAGAAGATCTCCCCCCCCCCCCTTCCGATGCTAAGGCCTCGGTCACACTACGGCAAGTTTGAAGATGGACGCAGCGTCAAGTCGCAGCACTTGACGCAGACGCGGGGTCACACAGTGTTTTGTTTTTCTTGCAGCTCATGACTGCCGCGGCCTGGCGCATTTGTCTACGTCACAAAATCACCAGGGAAACTCAATGACGACACGGATTCCCACGGAAACCGGCCTTTTGCTTAATATACAAAAAAATTGTCGGACAAAGTTTTCAAAATTTTCATTGATTTTGATCACAAGAAGAAGACGGAAGGTCCACGCGTGCACGATCGTTGTTTCTTTCCGAATTTGAAGCCATTTTCAGCTGTAGTGTCATGGATCAGGCAAGAAAAGTCCGCATCGCAGCTGTGTTTCTCCTGACTTCGTCACACTGGTTGTCCTTTTTGGGGCTCTTGACGACAACACAACGCTCACAAGTCAACAGGCTCCAGTTGGCCGATGACCCACTCAAACAACTGGTCCTTTCTCGACATTATTTTCTTCTCAGAAAACGCCTCGCCCTTCCGCCAGGTTCGGAGCAGAGCAGCCTCGGCCTCGTAGGTCCACGGACTCATCTCGAAAAAAAAGAGGAAACAAAACAAGCCTTGAAGAGACGAATGTCGAATGACTGCATGCTCAACTCGAGCCTTGAAACTAATTTTACTTGAAAGATACTGTTTTTCCGCGAAGCGTCACTCCCATCAGCGGCAACGCAGCCGATTTCCCCACGTCAGACGCAGCAGCGTCTGACGCTCAAACTTGCCGCGTTTGCGTCAGTTGCCATGGAAAAGCTCATGATTCTGACGCTGACGCAGCATTTTTGCCGTAGTGTGACCGAGGCCTAACGCTGCACTTACAGTGTAGTATAAGCAAAATCTCAATGCCATTGATTGAATACACCCTACTCACCTTGTCGTTGAGTGCCAGAAAAGCCTCGGCGCGTATCCTTGCCTTCACCTCCGATAGCACGCCATTTCCGTGTAGCGCCGCTTCAAGTGCTGGGCTCGGTATAGGAAAGGGCAGTGTGCATGTTCACATCAGAACACAATCAGAGGCAGGCCAGCCGGAAACTGTCCGATTGCTCAGGTCATCACCGCACCACCTTTGTAGCTACCAACGCATGTTAACTGCTGAGGAGGGAATATGTCCCCCGCCATACTATACACAAACTGTATGAAAGAGTGTGGTACGACCGGACCAATAGAAACCTGTTTCCGGTGGTCCTGAGAGCCATTCGAGGAAGCTCGGAAGAATGGTCTATGCGTCAGAGCGCAGTTGCTTACACAACGTCAGGAGATGGGAGGCATGGAGCTGGGAATGCTCGAAGTACACATGGGGACTGCTCGCGTCCCAAGACCAACTTCATGTACGTTCAGTACTCGTACGTGTCAGACCTAGACTAGACAAAGTAGGCACATGATTTAAATTGATTTTACGTACAATCAACTTCGCTAATAACGACTGCGGATATAACGACAATTCGCGAATAACGACAGAATGTCCATGCCCAGAGCAAAGTCCCATCTAACTGTAATACATATAATGAGACTTCGGGTATAACGACACTTCGCGAATAAGGACACTTTTTTGATGCCCGGCCGCCGAGTGTCGTTATAAGCCAAGTTGACTGTACATGTATATTGATTGCACATCATGCGACAATTGCCAATACCTGGTAAATTTTTACAATTTTCCAGAACTGCCTCTGATCCCGAAGCTCTGCCAAACTGCATGCATGGGCCCAGATCACTTCAGGCAGGCGTGTACTAAAAAATGCTAGTATCAATAACTAAGTATTGTGCCCATTATAGATTCTAATGGGGTTTTTTTCTTGTGTTTTTTTCAGGCAATTCAACGAAAATGCAGTTGATGGTCACTAACAGAGGGTTCATAAAGGTACACTAGTCTGTGGTGAAGTAACATTAGTTAGTTGGGGGTTCGCTCCCATACCATACGTTGTATTTTGCATGGCAAGACAAGTTTCGGAAAATGGAAAAAATGTGTTACTGGGTAACTGTTTTCCCTGCCCACCCCCTACTGTTTTGACCCCGCTAGAACCCTGCTGACATACAGTAGTCAAAGAACAGCCAGTGTGACAAGCATTGATTACATGTAGCTACTCAGCATTCCAGTATCACTTTCACACAGACGGTAGCAACAAAACGTTTTTCACTTTACCGATCAAGGGCAGCTAAACAC